TTTGTGCAGCTGACGAGGCTTGGCAAGCTTGCCGTCACGACCAATGGGTGTGTTTGTACGACGCAAATGCGACAAGGTCGAGGCGAACGTGTATCTGTTCAAGACCTGGGACACACCAGCAGTCGAGCTCATGGCCTTCTTCTGGTCACCCCAGTTACCAGTGGCAAGCGAGTACTTGAGACCGTTGGTAAGGGTGGAGGCCTTGATACCGAGGGCCAGGGAGAAGTGTTTGTTGGTATCAACGCAGCGCTTCATATAGCCCATGAGATCCTGAGTCAGGCGTCTCACGATACCACGGAAAAGCTTGGCCAGCAGGGGACCAGCCAAGTCAAGGCGCTTCTTACCGAAGTGATCACGATCATCGGTATCTCTGCGGCCAAGGACACACTGGAGCAACTTGTGGACCATGTATCCAAGGAAGAAGGCTTTCCTGGTCTCGCAACCTTCCGCTTGGGAAATATGCGGTAGCAGTTCCTTCTGGAGCATATCCTTGGCAGCCTTGATGCGGGCATTGCGGTTTACTCCCGCGCCGCCGTTACCACGCTTGCCGATGTAGTCCAAAGCGACCTCGCGGTCCTGGATACAGAAGGCCTCCTCAATGCAGGGACGAAGGGCTTCCAGCATTTGGCTGTCGCGCCGGTCATAGCAAATGTGGTTGAGAATATCCTCATCGGAAACAACGCCCAAAGCACGAAACACAATGGCGAGAGAGACCTCTTCCTTAACGTACGGCAGGGTGACGCTGACAGTGTTGGCCAGGCGACCCTTGTTCTGGTCGGCCTTGGTGTGCAGCCTCATCTGGAGAGAGGAGATGAGACGAGAACCCTTTTCGAGGGCACTGCGGATCTCAGCCTGGTACGAGACACTGCCGCCAGGGGGCTTCTTGAAGACCTGGACAATGTTGGCGGCACTGCGCTCTTGAGCAATCAGGACCTTCTCACTGCCGTTGATGATGAAGTAACCACCCTGGTCGTAAGGACACTCGTTGAGGGTGAACAACGACTCGTCGTCCTCCATGTAAAGGTGGCAAATCTTGGACTTGACCATAATAGGAATCTTGCCAAGGAAGAGGTATCCCTTGAGATTCTCAGCGTTAACCTTGTCTTCCTTGGGTGGCTCTGGCGGCGCACTCTCCTCCTCAATCCAGCGCAGAACAGTCGGGTGCTCGCCGGTGCGGGCCATGTGGTCGTGCTCGTCATCGGTAAGCTGGTTTAGAGGCTTCTTTTCGCTAACGGCGATACGGGCGCGCTTGGTGACCTTGCAGTAGATGGGGGCCGAGTATGTCAGGTTGCGGTCACGGCATTCGTACGGGAGAAGACTGATGGTCTCGCCCGTGGCTTCGGTGAGGGTCGGCCTGGAAATGATGATCTCTCCGAAGTGAACGTCGTATCTGCGCAGGATGATGTCTCTGCCGTCGTCGTCGCCTGGGCTTGGGTGGTCCAAGGTGAGATCGGCATACTCGTCTATTAGAGATTGCACGGTGTCTGTTGTGAATTCGTTGAAGGAATCGATCTGCTGGGACACGAGGCCCTTGAGGTCGAAGTAGGAGGAGATAACTTCCCACGAATCCTCGGGCGTGATGGCGTTAGGGTCGGAACCGTCATCCTCATCGTCGAAAGTGGAGAGGTTCTCGTAGTTGTCATCATTGTCGTATGTGTCCCCATAGCCGCCATAGCTCTGGCTACCGTCCTTTGCGTAGGCGGCCATCTTGCAAATCAGCAAGGCGAGCGGTGCAGGTTATTTGGCGGGCGGGCTAGGAGTTGGTTGTCGGACGGACTGAAGGTTGGCTGATCAAGTAATCGATAAATCGTGGATAAAAGGTTGTGAATGGCGGACCGCGTAAACGGTGGCGGTCGGTGGCGGGGTATGGGAATGAAATATCCGACCGGGGAATCGGCAGGCACTAGACTAGGCGGTAACGCGACGACAGCGTCTGGGTCTAGCCACTGTTTGGGTATCCGAGGTCGATTAAAGAGAAGAGAGCTGTCGGTCGGATGCCGAGAACAAGTCGAAGATGAAAAGGGTATCGCGGCGAAGGGTGGCCGACGATGGTGGTAGAGAATGGTCGAGTATCAGTCGCGCATCTACAGCTCGTCACTTTTTGGATTTTCCTGGTCCAAGTCGGAACGCGACGTTGCACTCTTTGCCGCTTCAAAGAGATGCAGATTAACGGATCGAGTCAATCGATAATTTGTTCGAGAATGGAGCAGCGCAACAGAGACGTCGACGGCGGCTGCTGGAAAGTGGCGGATGGGGGGAGAACAACGCGCGTGGGGAGTTCGCGATGTTGGTTGAGTCGGTGGTGATGGTGGTTTGGGGAAAGTGGTGGACGCCAGCGAGGGACGGAGAGTGCCACTCCAAAATCCCAGACACGCAGACAAGGCAAGGCCAGACTTGGTTGCTGCTGGCAAGCGCAGACCTGAACAAAGTCAAGCTCCAGGCGGCAAGGCCAGAAGTGGATCTTGGAGTGCACGTCTCAGCTCGGTGATTGGTTGAATTGCCGTCTTAGTAATGCACCGAAACGTCCATTCAACAAAATCCCCGCCAAATCCGGCCGGCAATGAGGAGTGTCAAGGTGCGGAAGACTGACGAGCAACGCACTGACCACCTCACCAACGGGAGTTTGGGCGTCTTCTACGAACATTTGACATTTGCAAGCACACTCCACTCGTCCCCTTTTAAGTCAATTCACCCATTCTTATGCTTATCCCTCTTATTCAACCTTTTGACCACTTTCGATCTACTGTCCCCCGATACTTGTGTTCATGTTGCCGGCCTTTTGAAGGTTGGAATGTCTCGTTTACTGTACCAAGCTAACAGACACGCCGGTATGGATCGTGCGTTCAGGTTATTAACCTTGACCTACTGTGTAAAGACTCAAAAGGACAGAGACCCAATGACACATTCGAACGCCATCTCAACAACTCAGATCGGATGAAAGCACTCGCCATCCTCTTTTCAATCCAAACCTTCAGCACCGAGATGGTTGTCAAAATGAAACGAACACATCACGGTCTTTGTATTATACCTTAAGGAAACTCTTTTTATGGATCCAAGCATATTTATTGCACCTTCGAACCTACTTTCGAGGCCGTTTATGAATAGTCCAATCCAGACTCCAACCGAGACGTTTTCAGGTGTCTGTCACTCGTCTGGCAGTTTCGGGATGGCCTTTTTTAGTCAAAGCGAGACATACTGAACTGTACATGTTCGTTTCCTATTGCCACCACTTGGACGCAAAAGTCAACCGACAATTGTCATTCCTTAAGGTAGTTCTCATATAAAGCTAAAGATGGACTTCTCTATCTTTATTCTGGTCGGATCCCCCAGTCCCCAGTTCATCTACCAATCAGCCATGACGTATACATATATTCAAAGCTGCAAACAAGCTTACCAGATGGCCGCGAAAAGTCTACTGAGCCACGACTCCTCCTTTTTCTTCCTTCTCTTCTTCCTTTCAGGAGCCACAGGATAATAGGTCAACATCTGCGGCACGTGGCTAGAAGGCAATGCCGCAGGCGGCCTATTCCCAGACACAGCAGACATCCATAATCACCACACTCGGATTACCGGTACCCAGCGTAACCATCTTACGTCTGTACCTGCGCTCAGTTGCCTTGTTCCTTGCATCGCCAGATCCAACCTGTCGTGTTGGAGACACAATTGTCATGGTTTCGGGCGCCAGAAACCGCCATTGTTCGAGCCACTCGGCTGCCCACATATCCAGGATATGCCCCCGGTTCTGGGGAGGTGCCGGGTAATTACAACCGAATCCATGGATGGGTGAACTACTATAAGAGGGCGGCTTGGACCCTTCGCCTCCCAGTTCAGGCTTTGACACATCAGACAAGATACAAGATGCGTTCCTCCACTATTCTGCAAACCTGCCTGGTGGCCGTTCTCCCATTCGCCGTCCAGGCCGCCTCGGGATCCGGCAAGTCCACCAGATATTGGGACTGCTGCAAACCATCCTGTGCCTGGTCCGGCAAGGCTTCTGTCAACCGTCCCGTTCTCGCCTGCGACTCAAACAACAACCCGCTGAGCGACACCAACGTCAAGTCAGGATGTGATGGCGGTTCTGCCTATACCTGTGCCAACAACTCTCCCTGGGCAGTGAATGACAATCTGGCCTACGGCTTCGCGGCCACGAAAACTTAGCGGGGGAACCGAGTCATCTTGGTGCTGCGCCTGTTATGCGTGAGTTGTCTTTCTGCCCATCGGAGTAAGATTTGATCACTGACGATTATTTATTCCAGCCTCACATTCACTTCGGGTCCTGTTTCTGGCAAGACCTTGGTCGTCCAGTCTACCAGTACTGGTGGTGATCTTGGCTCCAACCATTTCGACCTCAACATGCCCGGCGGAGGCGTCGGCCTGTTTGACGGTTGCAAACGGGAGTTTGGCGGTCTCCCCGGCGCCCAGTACGGCGGTATCAGCTCCCGCAGCGAGTGCGACTCCTTTCCGGCCCCTCTCAAGCCCGGCTGCCAGTGGCGCTTCGACTGGTTCAAGAACGCCGACAATCCGGAGTTCACCTTCAAGCAGGTTCAATGCCCGTCCGAGCTCACCTCACGCACCGGCTGCAAGCGAAACGACGACTCGCAATTCCCGGCTTTTACTCCTCCCTCTGGTGGAGGCAGCAACCCCTCTACTCCAACAACTCCCCCCCCTTCTGGCGGCGGCTCCGGATGTACTGCGGCTATGTACGCTCAGTGTGGCGGCTCGGGATTTTCTGGTTGCACCAATTGCCCATCCGGGTTGACCTGCAAGGCCATCAATGATTACTATCACCAGTGTGCCTAAGTAGTGCCAAGTGGTATGCGGGGTCATAGTGTCTCGAGTTGAGAGTGTGGACCGGCTAAAAGGGATCGGTAGACAGCACATCCTTGAAGTACAATCTCATACTGCTGTGCGCATTATTAGTCGCTTTATCATGTTTATCACACACAGTCGGCTTTGTTCGGATCTTGATCAGATCGCAATCTCTGGGCGTAGGCCGGGTATGATCATCGCGGAGACTGATGAATATTGATGGCTGCTCCTAGCAATAATACGTTGAGAAAAGCGGAAAGCTGTGCCGTCAAACCTTGTAACACGAGTACTGAATAACCTGCGCCTGGTTTGTATAGCCCGACTTCACTACCATTATGTCAGAGGAAGGAACATCTGAGACCGACGTGGGCATGTCCAAAACCAAGCCACCCGGATATTGGTCGACCGGTCGCAAGCTCGATGGCAGAAGAAGCAGATACTGCCGTCTATCGCCGTGGAGACTGTTAATACGACACCGGTACCGGCGAGTTGTCGAAAGTCCACATAGCGGGATCTTGGACAACAAATATATAAGCCCCAAGCTCAGACAGCCCAAAAACTCTGGTACCTACATACGCACCTTAATCCGCCTTGTGCGTGGCCAAGCGGTGTGTTGTACGAGAGCCAGAAAACATTGCTCAGTACGTGGTACTGGTGGTACAGTTTTCGTCGGTCGCTGCTGGTCTCAAGTTCAACTCAGATCTGGGCGACTGAGCATTTTGACCTTCTTTCTTTTTTCCTTCGAATTTGCCAGTGCTTGATGACGAGAACTGCGCCTCCTTTGATTTCCTGCGGATTGTCCTTTCGGACAGGTTAATCTGCTAGGCTGCGCCTTCTCCTCTTTGTCGATGCCTTGCCATGATTTCAGGCATGACTTCCTAGATCCACAGAGCGCTAGGCTGTCACTGCCATTTAAACCTGGCCTTTTGGCCACTGCACAAACTGGAAACACCGATGTGAGGACCTCGCACCTTCAGCAACTTGTGTGAAACCATGCGGGCAACACATCGTGGGCAATGGGAGTTTTCCTTGCTCTCTCCTCTCTTTGTTCACTATTCCATCTTCTCACTGCCACCCAGCCACGATCCGTCGTTCAATTCGAGGCACTTTGACGAAAACACCGGCCTGTTTGTGTTTGTCTTCAACGAACAGGCCATGAACACCATGCGACGTCCACTCTATGGGGCTTCTGCTGGATTGTTGCTTAACATGGCAACCCTCACGTACCCCTTTCTTTGCAGGAGTTTGGAGTAGACGGCCCGGGATCGAATATCCAGGGTTTGCAGTCATCTGGTGACATTTCCTCGGTTCGCATCTTCAAATTCACAACACCCGATATCACGATGGGAACAAGACGTTCTGTTGACGATGTCAGATTCGATTCTCAATGAGAGGAATGCTAATCTAGAGTGATGTCCAGGAGCAAAGTCTGATGAGGCTCAAAGTGTGCGTCCACACATAAGAGCCAGACCTTGCCGCCCCTGAAACACCATTGAACATCGTCTCCTTTTCTGCGGAAGCGCTTCCTAATCCATTTAAAAACTCTTTTGATCCTTCGTATCCAAAACAATCATATCCTCATGGCACCTTCTGACCCAGCACGAAGTACCCCATCTCCCAATTCCATGTCAATGACGAGGTCCGAGCCGGTGATTGTCGTCAGGAGCTAAAGTGTCTCGGTCAGCCATCCAGTTAATCTCTCAAGGCTGTTGGGGAGAGACTTACCATTTCATAGTGCGTCTATAGCCGCCACTTGTTTAGAAGCTGGTGGGAACAGCGCGCTTGTTCTTCTGGACAATGGTGGCAATAGCAATGCCATCGACGACGGGGGCAGCCATGATGCCGTCATTGGCATCAGCAGCAGCCAGGCGGGGGTAGTCGCAGTCGGAGGTCTGCGCGCCACTGTTCTTGCAGCAGCTGCGGAAGTTGGACAAGTGCTCGGAGATGGAGCTGGGCGGCGCAGTCGTTGCCGTTGCGCCAGCTGCCGTTCTGCTGGTGGCAGCAGGCCTCGGAGGCGCCCTTGTTGAAGCCGCCGCCGGAGTTCAAGCACTTGCAGGCCTCAGCGCCGGCGAAGAAGGCAATGGCCGAAAGGAGGATGGTGGAGAACTGCATTTTGATGGTGGTGGTTGGTAAAAGGGGTTTGTGTTGGGTTGTTGTGTTGTTGTGAAGGTAAGAGAAGATGTGATGATTGTGTTGGTGATGATCTGGATGAAGCAGAGAAGGAGGAGGGAGAAGAGGCTTTTATAGCCGATTTCTCTCTTCCATCCATCTCGATATCATCAACACATTCATGACATCTCTTCCTCCTTCTCCTCCTTCTCCTCCTTCTCCTCCTTCTCCTCCTTCTCCTCCTTCTCCTCCTTCTCCTCCTTCTCCTCCTTCTCCTCCTTCTCCTCCTTCTCCTCCTTGTCGTCACGAACCGTGCTGATAGACATGCTCATCCAGCTCAAAGCCGACAAGCATCGGGATCCTGACGACGTGACGCTCAGAGGCAATGGTACGTAGAATCACCTCCCGCATCTCTAGCCATGCGGTATTCTACTCTCTGCCTGTTCTTGACCTGCCAGTTTGAAGCTCAATGGAGCTGTTTGGCTGACGCTGACAGCCGATCATCACTCTCTGCTTGCAATATAGTGATTAGCGAGTGTCAAGTGCATGACTCGAACCATAGAGGTAGGGAACGGAGTTTTCACCATTGACTGGTTTGAAAGTAGTGAGGTAGGTGATTGGATGGCAACGGGATCTCATAGAGTAAATGGCAACATCAACTCTCGGACTTACAACATCTCCTGAATACTTCATCTACCTGGTGCAACCTTCCTCATAGGACTCGAAGGTCCGGGACACTGTGAGGCATAGATCCTTGCAGACAAGCTGGCATGGAAGCTCTCTAGCGATTTTTTTACAGCTTACCATGCTTCGAGTCAAGCGAACTGTCAAGGCATGATCATTGCTCGCATTGTCTCTGTGGTTGGTTGTTGCCATTGAGGTTAACTGGCGAGACTGGCAAGGCTCACACACAGAACATGCGTGGCAAAGGGTAACGTCCTGTGTATTACATGGCAAACAATTATACACTCAAAGATACTGAAGGAGTGTTGATCGTCGAAGGCAAGGAGGGAAATGTTGCATCGCTTGGTTGCCAGCAAGGGAGAAGGAAGGCAGTCATGGGCCAGGCATGTTAGTACAGGTAAGCAAAACTCGGACTTGGAGATGAAGTTAAAGCAGTTCCACGGCGGGAGATATTGCACTCTAACAAAACACGGGCTCACACCGGGTCTCTACCGCTTTTTCTCGTTCATAAGAGATTTACACTTGGGTGAGAAAAGAAGCACATGCACGGGAAGTTGGTTGCATATGGGGAAGATACCCAATGGGACGCTCTCATTTTCCTTGCTAGCGCCTGTGAGTAAATCTCTTATGAACGAACAAAAGCGGTACTCTTGTGGAGAAGATAAATGCAAATGGCTTCATCTCTTTTCCGGCCCATACCATCATACAAACACACGCCAACGTTCCTCGAATACTTCCAAGAACCACTCCCTGGCGAGTCTATACCTCAATCAACAGGTTCTACGGTTAGTTCCGTGCCAGTAACGGCAACAGGTTGGTCCCCGTTGCTCAGTTCTTGCTTCCCTTCATGGATTCAACCGGAGTTTTGCCGGCTTGGTAGCATGATAAATAAACAATTCTGATCCTTACCAGAAATACCATCATCCGCGACCCCTCGCTGTCACTCGTAGGGCGGTGCAGGCATGCTGGCTACTCCGTCGGGGATTAACTGTGTAGCTTGCCACCTGCCATGCCAGGCTTTGATCAGATCATTCTACCGTGCGGCAAGCCTGCAACAGCGTTGAGAGATATATAGCGGGTTGGGGTGCCGCGTAGAACTCTACACAGTAGGTACCTGGATGAGGTTTTCCCGCTTGAACATCGGATTTAGATAGGCGAAGGAGTACCTATAACGTAAGCTGTCGTCGCTAGCAAGCCCCTGCCGTCCCACCCTCGTCCGGTCTACAATATCACAAGCAGCGAGTGGTCGAGGTACTAACCAGTCAGCTGTCAGGTATTCTTGTCGAGATGATGAGAAGTAACCGCGCAGTAACAGTTGCAGATCTTGCAGACTATTAACGGGAGATCCGATCCTTCCATGATACGGCAGCTAAAACAGATGAACAAAAGCCGGCATAAGTGCTGACGGGCGCAGCTGGTTAGAGTGATGCGGCATGTGTCAACCGTCAATCCCCGGCCCGGCCCCGGTCAACAAACTTTGCGCTCCAAAGAAAAGCCGCCAGTCTTAAATTTCAGAAAGAACTGCATTGACATGGCTTATGTGTCGTGCCACACATCCTTGTGCGTTCAGGGAGTACTACCCACACTGTTGACTTTTACTGTGGTAGGCTGGCTGGGCTGGCGGGCAGGGCTGGACGGTTACCTGGTGGATCTGGGGTGGCGCCGCCGAAGCCTTGTAGGGCGTGATGAGCTGGGATGCTGCGGATGAAAAAGCCATTCCGGAAGCTTATACACACCAATTCACTGTCCTAATTGATATAGGGATTCGCGAGGCCAAGCCTACCCCGAGGCACGTTGATGGCCTCCTCGTATAGGATCAGAAATTCGGGATCTGCAGGGTCCAAATGAGGAAGGTGAGATTTTTTTTCCCTTGTATTATTTCGCTTCTGAGACCAATCAACTAACGAACTTAAAACACATGTCCAGCGATCATACCGGAAGCTTATGATATGCCGTGGGCACCGGCGTTTACAGTGAAGCGAGTGGACGAATCTGAAGAAAGCAAGAGTGACGTTGCGGCAAAGTCAAGTGGCATTAACAGCAAAACTGGGGAGGACGAGGATTGTCAGCCAATGGGATTGGCGATCGTAGTTAATGCCAATGCTACCTTACCATCCCTGAAAGAGAATGGGTACTACCCCGTCACACTATGGGAATGGAGACTGTGCCACTCTTGGTACGGGGTACGCCAACGCTCGGCATCTCAAGTCCAGGACATGATCATCTCCCATTCTGCTGTCCTTTGCTGGTCAGCGTCGGCGTCCAGATTCGAGGATGACCTTCTGTCTGTTCCCCCCTATCCGCATATCCGACCTCGTCATATTCATCGGTCTTTACTCCCCCTGAACTTGCCTGCTCAATACATGTCCCCAGCACATATTCCCAACTGGACAACCTTCACATGAGCAAAGGCACTTCCTAGCGATGAACCTCCGTTCCAATGGCCAGCTTGATCCAGCTGTCCTGACGGTGGCAGCAGCTGTAACTTGCACATCTCTGGCTCAGTACCTGACTGCTAGAGCTACAGAGTCTGAGCTTTCCTCGGAAGCTGTGTGTTGGATCATACTTCCATCCCTTTTCAGGTTCCACGCCAAGCCCTCGAAATATGTACCTCCGTTAGGGGATGTGAGCCTTAGCAAACGCCCGACTGAACCACTACGACTTTGGGGCCTTGCGGTGTGTATTGTTGCCCTCAGTCTCTCTAAAACAGAGTTCAGTTCGGTAGTCTGTTTGTTTGTAAGCCATCCTAGTTACCATGGACCCTTTCACGGATACCTGTCTCACACAAAATCTTCAATAGCCTCTTGCAACACCACTGCTGTTCAAGGCCCATGAATATCTCCAATCACGGTCGGGCGCTTTGAGGTATGAGACTTCTAAGGAAAGAGCCTTGACTCACTCGTTCATCAATACCTTCTTGGGATCACTCCTGTCTGCGGCAGTTGCTGTGTACGCCTTGACAGCATGGGACGTCAAGGCAGCTACCATAGCGGTAATACCGTTTGTGGTTCTCGTCGGCTTCTTTGCGTCGTTGAAGCATTTAATGGGAGATCAAGGGCGCTCATATAATTTTCCTGTTGGGTTGGAAGACATCATCCGGCCTGTCTCCTTGCGGGTCGTTGGTCTCTTGATTATCCTGCAGTTTGTCGACATCTGGGCGTTTGGCTTTCCCAGAATCGATGGTGTCTTGACGGTCCTTCTGGGATTAGCGAAGGCTCTATCGTGGTGTTTTGCTGTTCAAACTGTACGTCAGCCGGTGCTAACGCATTTGTGAGTTGCTTGAGTAGACGAGTGGCACTGACATCCTTGACAGACAAGATATACACCGGTGTCATGGCGAATCGTCACCGTGATAGCCACCTTCGGCTTGGTTGCCACTCGTGACCCGTCCATCGAGCCTTCAGACACTCAGGCTTTTGTGAACGTTGTTGCTTCCCTTCTTGCTCTTGTTCAAACCATCTACATGGTGCCAAAGAACACAAAACAGCGAGCCCTCCTCTGGGTCTTCGTCCTTGTTCCCCTCATGCCATACCTGGCAAACATGGTCGCTATCAGGGCTGCCGAGTCTGCAGCGCAGCAACTGGCTTCTCAACATCCCGGCCAACACCCGGTAGCACAGCTGATGGAGAAGGCGAAAGCAGACTTTGACGCCATGTTATCCAGACAGTCAAAGACTTACGACCAAGCTGTCAAAGAGTACAAGCGTCGATACAAGGTAGATCCACCATCAGGGTTTCGGGGCTGGTACGACTTTGCCGTGAAGAACAAGTCCCCGATCATCGATGACTTTGACACCATCTACCAGTCAGTGTCGCCATTCTGGAAACTCAGCGGCCAAGAGATAATGGACGTGGTGAACAGGGCATATAACACACCGTATAGCGAGCTGTGGCAGTGTACCTTTCGCGGCGAGACCGCAAGGACCGAGTGTCGGCATCCATACCGCAACTTCGACAGACATCTTACCCTTCTGCTCAATAAGGTTCTTGGAGATCTGGGGGGGGTCCTTCCTGACATCCAGTTCGTTGTCAACCATCTTGACGAGCCGCGGGTGGTCGTTCCACCTGACCAAGACCCCATCGACACGCGCTTTGCTCTTGCCGATATGTCCCAAAAGCCAGTTTGGAAGGAACTAACCGTTCCTTGCTCCTCCTCCTACAACCAACCCAATAATACTGCAGCTAAGAGCATCAAAACCTTTGGCCTCCCTTTCGTCACATCCGCGGCTTCTTCGCTCGACATCTGCGCAAACCCTTCCTACGCTAACACCTACGGCCTCTTCACTTCTCCTGTCTCGCTTCGTCTCCTAACCGGTCTCGTCCCCGTCCTCTCCACCGGCGCACCGTCCACCATGTCCGACATCCTCTACCCCTCCGCCGCCTACATCGAGTCCGGCTTCGTCTACGATCCCACCCGCGACATCCCCTGGGATAAAAAAGTCCAACAACCTCTACTGGGCCGGGTCCACAACCGGCGGCTCCGCCTCCTCTTCTTCTTTTGAACAATGGAAGTCCTTCCACCGGCAACGCTTCGTCTCTCTTGCCCAAAACCTCAACCACAAGCCACACACCTACCTCCACTCCCTCGGCAACGGCGGTATCACCGCCGCTACCTCCTCCTTCCTCAACAGCCGCCTCTTCTCCATCTTCTTCACTCGCTTCCAGTTCTGTTCTGGCACCACCTGCCGCGCCCAACGCTCCTTCTTCCGCACCAAGTCGTACGCCGACAAAGACGAAGCCTTTAGGTCTCGTCTAGTCTTTGACCTCGACGGTAACGGCATTTCGGGACGGTACTACAAGCTTTTGGCGAGCAATAGTGCTGTCCTCAAGCAGACGCTGCTGAGGGAGTGGCATGATGATCGCTTAGTGCCGTGGGTGCATTATTTTCCTGTCAGCATTGGGATGGAGGAATTGCCGGAGTTGATGATGTATTTGACGAGCACGGGGGAGGGGAGGCAGAAGGCGAGGGAGGTGGGCGAGCAAGGCAAGGAGTGGTGGGGGAAGGCGTTGAGGGAGAGGGATATGGGTGTTTATTTGTATCGGTTGTTGCTGGAGGTGGGGAGGTTGCAGGAAAGGGGGAGGCGGAGGGGGGAGCCAAAGGAGGAGGGGGTGGTGGGGGGTGGGTAAGGCAAGGTAGCAGATATGCTAGGGGCTGTGTTATTGTGGTGTCTGTGCTGGTAGTAGGTCGTTCTGCTTCTTAAGAATGTGGACGGGCGTTCGACTAGAATAGGTTGAGCTCTCAACAATTACTACTTGGGATAAACCGAAACGTCTTGCTCTCTCCATTCTTTCCACCCCCTAACGCATCTTGTACGTCGTTAATGGCGCTGGGACCTATTCATATGACTAACTGGAAGTGTATCTATCAGGTTTCGTCCTCCAGGATGGGGTCTTTTGTCGGGTTGGGAACTGATCTTGGGGTATTTCCTGCAGGATTACGCTTATCTACCCAGGTGGGCTACATGGTAAGGCCCGGCTCGATCTTTTCTCGGATAAGCTGGTTCAGGCTGGGTGGTTGAATATGTGCTCTGTTGTCTCGTGAGGCGGGACAGGATCAGGTAAACTGTGGCTTGTTTCGCCCCATGGCCACTCAAAAAAAATACTGCATCGCGTATGCATGCTACATGCTAGTGAACACAGCCTACATTCTCTCACATATTTCCAATGTCTGAAAACCAGATGCATTCTTCTCACCTTGATTGTCACTTCTGCAGGCAGGACAATACGCATCTGCTTCTCGTTCAATATGAATGAGTACCTTTTCAACATGCTAAGCCACAGATGTTTCCCTGCATTGCCTTATCGTGAGCGTCCTGTCCTTGTTGGACTTCTCTTGGCCACTTTGCTTTACATGGAAACTACTGGTGTTTTTCCTTACAGACGGGGAAGATTGCGTAAAGCATGCACCCAGGTCGAAGAATAACGGAAGTCCGTCGGGGGAGCGAATTTTTCGCACACATCATCCCAGTTTCCCGAATTCTACCTCTGACTTACTATTTAACACCAGGCACCAGTCCATTTTTACAACGAAAGAACCTCCTCTTCTCACCACGCAAAAAACACCTGGATCTATACCAAGTCGAAGCATACTTCTCGAGTCATCATGACGACCTCATCTTGCTCCTCTTATGGCGACCTTTCGCCCTTGAGCTCCAAATGCCGTTCTATTTCTCTTTCAAGCCTCACAGGCATGACTGGGTACACAGACTTGACTGGGTACATAGACTTGACTGGGTACACTGAGCAGACTACCAATACTTTGTTCAAATCCATCAAGACGAAGCAGAAGAAATGGAAGAAATCCCTCCAAAAGAAATTCGCTCGACTGCTGCCGACACCCAAATCGGAAGTGGAGAAACGCAACGCCATCAAAGCAAAGTTTCGATTGAACCAAAAGAACCTCGTCGAACGCCAGGCCAAAGAAGAGAAGCTCGGGAGATCAAAATTCCTCGACGCCACAACCGAAACGGCAAATCTTTGGGTCCAAAAGATGCTCGCTGAACAACACCAGACCAAGACCAAGCCCGAGGCCGAAAAGTCTTCTTCTTCGGAAGTCCTCGACATGATCAAAGCGGCAAATGAATTCCTTCAAGAGGCCCTTGATGTATACCAGGCCAACAACGCCTTAGTCACCAGACAAGAAGACACAAACACCCCAAAAGCTCCTCACTCAAAGCTCAACGCCATCGCGTTACTGCAAGCGGCGCTCGCCGAATACCAGACCAACAATCCCACCATTTTTTATGGACGAGGACGATCTCGAAATCCTCCAATGCCTTCAAGCGGCGCTTGCTGAACTCCAAACGGGGCCCAATTATAACGAAAAGAAGTCTTTGGGAAGTGGTGGAAGCCATCCGAATTCGTCAATCAGTCCCGACAGCCCTAACAGACCTCGGCATGACGACTCCGACTCCGACTCCGACTCCGAAGATCTCGACGAGTTTTCGTACCTGATTTTCAAACCTAGCGGATCTCCTCCTCCTCCATATTCACTTTTTCCTCCCTCCTAGGAGGATTGCAATTTGCATAGGTGTGACAATGGCATGAGGAAGGAACATGTCCGTGGCCGTGGTGCTCATCATTGCCAGGAATCCGATTCCACCTCAGAAGCCCCGTCCTCCTTCGCAGATTCGCTGTTCCCAAGAAGTTAAAAGACAGGGAGGGTGTTGTTGAAGTTGGTGTCTTGCTTTCGTTGGGCTGTTATAGCTGTTGTGTGTGTTGCGTGGTGTGTTTGGACAGGTTTTTAAAGATTTAAAGAGAAATGCGTTGCGTTGTGATCGTGTCGAAGGCGTGTCATTGATCTGGGATGGCAGCTTGGCTTCTTCGCTCATGTTGTCTTGGAGTACGGATGGATAATGTAGCCCGGTTTTACGTTATTTTGTTGTTGTCGGATTTTGTTGTTGTTGTTGTTATTTTTAACGTCTACTTCCGCCTCCCGTAGGGCATGAGACGTGCCGCACCGGTGAGTCTAGCATACAAAATTAAGAGCAATGCCCTAACTGTCCACCAAAACCATTAATCCGAGGGCAACCCGAGGCCTATTGCCAGTATAAATCATGTGTTGCCCGTAGCGTAAACGCGGCCCAACACCTCCAGTCGAATCGCCCAGTGGGCGAGCCGCTAGTATATGGCGGGATTTTTTTTATTTTTTTTTTTGTTGTTGTCAGAGTCACGGAGTGGTAGTGGACTTACCTTGCATTGCCTTGTATTGGGTTTGCAGACGAGTCTGCGGACGGACGACATGGTGAACTTGCGGTAATTGCGGAAATTGAGGGTATCACGGGTATTGTGGGATGAACGTATGATAGTATGAGTGCCCCGGTCAATGGGTAACTTTACCCGTAAGGACAGTTTCGGTACCTCCCTCCATCAATGGATTTTCTGTTCCCGCACTATATAACCCATGTCCAACAACAACACTCCAATTGTGAAGGTCAAATGGCGCGGTATTTTCGGGCTTTTGGATGCTGGGATAAGATTTCCTCCATGGCAGGAGGTACCGAAGTAGCGGTTTCCTCATTCGTCTGAGAACTGGAAGGCATGAATGAGAGAAACCCGAAGTGCCACCCTAGCGCTCGAGATACATGTGATCCGGCACGGTCGTAGATGACCTCGTGATCAAGGGACAAAGGCCGGTGGCAATGATGAATTCCGGTTTTGCCAGAGCGAGAAAGATCTCTCGCATGAGGATGTCGATGAAATGGGGTATGGAGAGGGAATGGGAGCGCAAGAAGGATATCTTTGGTTACAAGAACCTCCACCACGACTTTCACAAACACAAAACGATGAAGAGAAGCTGACTGTTCTTCGAAACAAGACATGTGATTGACAAAATGTAGTAAAAAAATAAAAAAAATAAATGATTTCAGGACGAGAGATACAATAGTGAAGAAAAAAGAAAAAAAATGAAATTGAATCATGGACGAGCTGGGAATCGAACCCAGGACCTTTCGCATGCTCGGAAACATGCTAAGCGAACGCTCTACCAACTGAGCCACACGCCCGATTGATGTTCAACTGACTTGGATGTACAGTCTAAGATGGTAAGTGCAATGATTGTAGCTGGGAGGTACATCGGATTTTGTTGCATTTTTGGTGGATGGGGTAGAGGAGAGGGTAGATGAATGTTTTGCGCCAGTTCTTTGGTTTAGAGTTTGCATAGTGTAGTTACTGACATGCAGATTGCGGAGGAGTCTTGGCGTTGAGCTTCTGTGGACAGTGGATGACTGGGAAATCGATAGTCAAGGGTGAAAGAATGAACGATGGAGCATGGAGGAAGAGAAGTGCGTCTGCTGTAGTCATCGGCTACTAAAGAAGAGATAGTAGATATCTATACCAAGTCGAAGTGTACATCAAGGTTGGCCTGCACAGCTCGTGGTTGTATGGGAATACTCGTGTCGTAGATAAGGTCGCTTACCATACCGTGGTATCATCCATGCTTAGTCTTATCAGGATATCTCAATGTGCCCCCGGACTTTCACCATCTCACCTCAGTTCCATACTTCCATTCAGTCATTCATGGTTTTGGGAGGGTGGAGGGTGGGGGCGAAGGGCGAAGGGCGAAGGGCCGATGTGTACCGCTGCCCCCGTTACCTTGACTAACTGGCTGAATAGTTTCTGACCAAGCCACTTGGTAGTTAAACATAAGTCTCCTTCGAGGTTTAATCATGATCTTGACAAGAATGGTGATGTTAAGATGGGGTCAGGTCGCTCTTTCTGGGAATGTCGACTTATCACATATCACACACATAAACTCTGCGTATCCCCATGGTGTGTCGTCCAGCTGAGTCCCGTGTGTAGGAGCCAAGTGCGCAGTAGAGATGCCGTTCGACCAGGATGCCTCCGGTGGCTGTTCCCGCCATTCCCACTAACCCTACAGGGTATGTGCCTGTGTAACTGTAACACACCCAACTTCAAAAGATAACGACTTGTCATTTCCCTTGCGCTCCAGTATCCAGACGTTGAAGGCATGGAGTTCGGCGACCGTTGCGACGTTTGAAGCCCGATTCCGAAGTTGGCGACCGGGCACCTCATCTGACTATCTGGTTCTAACGTCCGGGTGTGGTCATCCTATTCCGTCCGGGAACAGCAATGTCGATATCGGGTCCGAAGGTCAAGTCGTCCCGCATCCTGAACCTTTTGTCTGATCCTCGATATCAGTGCATTTCTTCGTGCTTGGATGATCTACAAAGGCAGTGTGCTCACTGTGCATTCTGCTGCAACTAGCTCGCTCATCCCGCGAAGCCGGTTGTTAGTGCTCACTACTCATTTACCGGTAATGGTGGACATCGCGGCGCCTGATGAGTCCGTAAGGCCAGAATCCGGGAGTCTCCCGCTTGTTACCCGAGGGTGTGAGGTTGGCTCTCGTGCCAAGGCCATTTTACCTATACCCACACTCTTTACACCCACGGGTACACAAGCAAATAAAATAAGTTCAATGAAACGCACCGGTTTTCCGAAGGACTGACGCCAGGCATGGGCTTGTAAAGTCTCGACCAAAGCGGAGAGGACGAAACCCTAACGTCCAGCCCAGTGCTCATGAAATGAGTTGAAATAAGATGTGACATTAGAGTAAATTATAGAAAATCACGGCCCTAAATGTGGTCATCATCGAGGTTATCGAATGCAATCAATGGCGTGCCATGGTTACACAGCGCACCTGATTGCTGTTCGTCTCACTGGGAATGGACCCCTGTAGGACGCTACTTGGGGGTTGTGATACGGCCTGGGACTCTTTCGTCAACCCCCTCTTATAAAAGAGAGGGCAAAAAATTCTAGGGCAGCGAAATATTCATGGGACAAATTGAACCACTCCCAGAAAGCCATCTACCTTTTTGCACAAATAATTTCCTGAAAGTCCAGGGAAAATTGAGGAGGAAAATATAATTATAAAAAGGAAGCTTTCAAAGTTGCATCGATTTTGGTCAGGCGTGGAAGGAGAAATAAGAAACAAAGGTTCAAAACTATACCTTTGGCTGCAGCTGTCGAAATTCGTCGCACGCAATGGTTGGTGGTCGAAGTTGCACTAACAAGTTTCCTAGTGTTTTAACGCCAATGTAGATTGTCCCAGAATATTTCGCTCTGCCAGAATTTCTTTTCCCCCTACTTAATGAGCAGGGGGCTGAGAAAAGTCCCACCACCACAACCCCCAAGTAGCCATGAGGTGACCTGCAGTTGGTTGTCCAGGGGTTGTTGTTCCTCGTGGAGTAAGTTTTGACGACGACAGAAACTCCGAGCCATAAAACCGGCGAACGACCATCATCGAGGAACTGTCCGCTAGTAAGCGCCATTGTTCATTAGTAAGTGGCCTTTGGGATAAGGTGACAACACCGATCATTTCACCCTTTTGGGGAGTTTGTCAACGGCTTCGCCTGCTCGGGACCTCAATTCGGTAAGCTTCCCTGCAAGACGCCGCGCTACTGCGGGCCCAGCTATCTCATCATGAACTTCAAAATTTGGGGTTGTAGCTAGGCACCCACGGATGCCACCAAGGCTGGTGATCGTCTGTGCGGCCTCAGGTAGTTACTGTTTGGTCAAGACATGTTGATCCGGATAGTTGACGAACGAGCAACATTACCAAGGGTTAGTAAGTCGGCGCCCGCCGCCCGATACGGATGCAGTGATATGACGGGTCCATGGTGACGCTCATGCCATGGGCTATCATTAAGCACACGGCATAATATGCTAGAAGGAAGGGCGTCTGTAGATGCCATGGAGTATAAAGGGCAACTGGCCATGCCTCATGCCTCGGATACCTGTATTCCTCACGCGCCAACGACAGCGAACCCTCAAACACCAACAATGGCCATTGCAGCATATGACACCATCATCTTCGACCTCGGCGATGTGCTCTTCGACTGGGATGAGCCGAAGAACGTCGCGTCCCTTGCCGCACTCCCAAAAGGTGCTATGCGAGAAATGATGAACTCAACCACTTGGTATGACCTCGACCGTGGTCTCCTGCCTGCCGAGGAGGCTTACAAGGTAAGCAGCTTCCTTGCTTCCACGACCTTCGTGTCCTAAGACTAACCAATGTCAAGTAGATCATGGGAGAAGAGCTCAAAATCGAGGCGTCGCTGGTACAACAGGCCATCGATGCAGCAGCGTTGTCTCTCCGAGTGAACGAGCAATGGGCAGAGCTCGTGGAAAAGCTAGCTGCAAAGCCTGGGCTGAGGGTGTATGCCATGTCGAACATCTCCAAGGAGCACTTCGAGTACATACGGACGTTGCCGTTCCCATGGGAAGCCTTCACTCGCGTCTTCACCTCCGCGGCCGCCGGTATGCGCAAGCCGGACCTCTGCTTCTACCAGTACGTCATCAACGAGACTCGATGCAACCCTAGTCGTACCATCTTCCTCGACGATCGTACGGAGAACATCGTCGCTGCTAGATCTTTCGGCATTCGGGGCGAGATCGTAACGGAGAGCGAGAGGACCAAGGAAGGAAGGATATATCGGTTTTTCAAGAACGTAGTCTTGGGGGAACCCCTTGCGCTTGCAGAAGCCTTCTTGCACTCCGAGAGCGGAAAGCTGGATTCCATCTACTCCGAGAAGGGAGTGGTTTTCAGGGACAACTTTGCCCAATTGCTGATCTGGGGATTGACGGATATGGAAGATATCATCTACCTTTTGTGGCCGGACGGAACGCGTTGGAAGGGGTCATTGCGATGCTCGTCTCCGGATGACAACGCCTCCGTGGCCAGCTCAACCGATTCAGCTGTCGTGCTCAACGACAAGGTCAGAGAGAGCAAGAAGTCACGTCCTCTTCAGGACGGCTTGTGGAACTACTTCACCGAGAAGCCAGTTGGGACCACAGAGACATTCCCAGCCGATGCCGACACCACCTCGATCGCCTACCTGACCATTCCGCAAGAGCACCTGCACCGAGTCGCTGATCCCAAGCTTGTTCTGGATGCCATGGCCGCCAACATGAACGTCGATGGGATCATGCAGGTGTATTTCACGGAGGACAGGCCACGCATCTGTGCCATTGTCAGCGTGAACATGCTTCGGTTCTTCCTGAAATATGGTGGTGATGACCTGGATCTGGACACAGATCTCCGCCTTGCTGCCACGAGGAACTTGGTTGTCAACTGCCTGGCCAACAATGCAGTGATGAATGGCACGCGCCATTACACGACGATCGAGAGCTTCCTTTACTTCATCAGCTTATTCTTCGCCGAACTGAGGGCAAAGGCCGAAAGGAATCCGACCAAGAATGCAAATCTGCTTCAGACGCTCGAAAGACATATCTATCGCTCGCTGGTACAGTCGTTGGGCAAGCCTGCTAACCCGCTGGCTTTGGCGATGAGAACGCGCGCTTGTCAAGTATTCGGCATCGAAAGAGACCTCCTTAGGTGGGAGATGGACGAGTTGCTTGTCCTTCAAGAGGAAGATGGAGGATGGCCGGCGGGTTACTTCTGCAGAGCAGGAAGAACTGGTGCTGATATCGGTAGTCGGGGCTTTACGACGGCGATGGCTTGGCGAATTCTGAAGGACTATGAGCCTGAGGGTTGTGTAGCATAGATACCGGCCGGATAGGGAGACGACAGCAATTTAAGATTTTATGGCCAAAGGGTCTCCTGCATGACGAGCCGCACTGGAACGAAAAGAAGCGGCACGCCGCTTCTGACAGGTCAGACTGGGCCATTGCCAAGGCGTAGATGAGCCCGCCCTGATCCAGATCCGTTGCAGCGAGATCTATTCGTATATCTCACGATCCGACTTGAGTGTGGTGGCGCGGTTCTCATTGGACAGCTCGGGCTGCGGCTCAAATTACCCGGAAACACGCTGAACGTGGCGGGCGCGGCGCGGTTGGCTATGCTGACCACCAGTAAGTCGAGATGTGGATGGGCATAAGACCTAATCCGAGAGTGGGAAGGCAGTCATAGACAACAGGACTTGCAATGCCACCAATGCCGAGTCTTACTTAACCAGGAGAATAAACCGTATCGTCGGCGTTTGGCTTTCGATCAAGCCTATTTCTTTTTCTTCTCCTTTGATGCTCTCCGCAGTGACGGCAATACCATCGCCTCCTGTGACCAATCGTCGGCTTTTGACAGTACAGCTGTAACCGCGACCATGAGCCGCACTCAGTGGGATGATGGACTGCATGTGGTGTACGGCAAAGATGCGCTAGAAGCTGTTCTTCCGGGGTAACTGGCACCCAAAGAGCCGGTATCGACAATAGCGACCTCAGCCTATCCGCAATACAGCCCCTTGGTGCAGCCGTGTTCCTCCGAGGAGCAAAATCAGGAGCAACAGGGACAGTTGCTCCCACAACCAGGGACGTCTTCGCCGGATCTGGAGAAGGCGGCCCCAAAGAGAAGAATATGTGGTCTGCAGAGGTCCACGTTCTTCTTGACAGCGGCGCTCCTGGCGGTGATCATAATCGCAGCAGTCGGCGGTGGTGTAGGTGGATCGATAGCGGTCAAGGACATGAAGAGGTAAGCTGGGCTATCCGGGTCGCCAGTTGTGTTTCACAACCATAGCTGACTGTCGAGAAGCAGCTCCGCGTCAGTGCCGTCTGATGACACTTCTACAGCCGTGCTTGATCCACTGACAAGCATGATGCCGCCCTCAAGCACGACAACATCCCCCTCCAGCACAAACAGCCTCGATTGTCACGGGCCCAACCACGGGAGTTCTCGATTTCGACTGCGCAGCCGTCGCCGCCAGTGGCCGTCAGATCATAAAGATGGGTTCGCAGAGCTGGGGGTTTGGCGTGGGCTGTAATCAGGACTTGACGGGAAGCGAGATCGACCTTGCCGGTTCGATAGCGTATTCGTTCGAGGGTTGGCTCTGATCATGTGCGCAGACGAACCGAATAACGAAGAACGACACATGTGTTAGGGTGTATTTTAACGGGGATTTGCCGCTGTTTATGGAGACGTATTATTTTGGGAATTGTTTTTTGAAGAGGTACTTGGCACAGCCAAAGTCGGACACGAGACCGTTGGCTGCCATAGCGAGTTTGGTGTCGTCCCTGTACACATGACGCTGGGTATCGTCGGCGGTTCGGACGAGATGTCGAGGGTACTCATCGTGAGACCAAGGAGGGCAGCATGTCGAGGGCGTTTTGTGACTTGTGACTGGCATTCAATGGAAGCATTAGAGAAAAACGAGATACCATAAGCACATACGCAGGAGAAACCGATGGGAGAGGGAAGAACCAACCGAGTTAATTGCTTAACAGACAAGGCTTGAACCTTGCCTGTACGCTGATAATGGGGTAGCGAGTCCACTGGCGATACTGGGTAGCTTTCCAAGCATTCAGACGGTGCAGTGACGCCATGCCGTTCCTCATGCGCAACAACAAAGAGTTATAAAGCAAGAGATCAGAAAGGAAGATACGGCGTGGATATCACAGCGTAGGAGCGTGGATTGTCATGCGATTGAAACGAGCCGAGTCGGACTGGAAGCCATTTCTGTTGCCATTGGGAAAAAGAGGAAGAGAAAGGACACGGGGGGTAGGAAACGCGCTACGGCGATGGTCAGTGCGGGGCGCCTTGCTACAGAAAATAGGTTCCAACTGCTCCACATAGGGAAGATATACCTCCTTGTGACTTTAGCTGGACACATTTTCTTAACATTCAGTGACATCAGACCTTTATTTTCACTTTGTTTGCCTCGTGTAGACGACAGAAATATCAACCACGAACTATAAAAACACCATCAACAAACACAAAAATGTCGTGGATACCTCAGCTTATTACATGGGCGTATCATCCAGTACCACCTCAAGCACGAGCTGATGTTCATCATTCACAAAAACCATGCCCAGGATGAACAACTTGGAAGTTGCTATTGTTTCCCATTCAGAAACCAGCCATCATCCTGTCCGCTCATGGTAGTTCCGCCCTACCTTCAACAACACTCTCGATACCTCTAGCGATCTCATCGGTTCTCTCCTCCGTCGTATCTTCAACCCGCCCTTCAGCCCGCCCTTCAGCCTGCTGTCCAGCCCTCTCTTCAGTCATCTCTCGCCTCTCTTCTTGTCTCAACTCGGCCCTCTCCACTGCTGGTGAGCCTGGTGGTAGTTCTGCTGTCGGACGGGTATTGCCGTGGACCTCGCTTACAGGGTTCCCATGCATTTCTCCCATCTTTGCCTGGCCCGGCTCAGCGCCTTCTCGATGTATCTCCCGTGAGACTGTGGACATTCTTCCCCATCGCCACATCAGAAACCGCCTTCTCAGAGGAAAGAACAACACCAAGCCTACAAGTAACACTCCGATAGCCGCGCCAACACCTATCCCAGCGACGGCGGCTTTGCTGAGGCCTTCAGAGGCTCTTTTGTCTGTTCCACTCGTCGGCTGTAGTGGTGATGCCGATGTCGTAGGATCAGCAGCATGGAGCCTAGTTGTGCTGAATATGGTTGCAGTCGTCACTGAATGCGCTGGCGTCGTTGGGGTGGAGCCATGGGATCCGTTGCTTGTGATGTTGACCGGACGGTCCCTGCTGGGGGGCATCACCCCTTCGAACACCCCTTCGGAAGCAAATGTTTTCTGGCGCTGGGATCCGTCACCCCCCGAAGTACGCAGTTGGAAGGGCTCGCTCTGGATGCTCACAGGCTCACGATCCCAGACACGCTCTCCCTTGAGTGTGATCGCACAAACGGGGCCGCTTTCCGAGACGTTCTGCATCTGAGGAACCGATGGGAGAGTGAAAGGAACTGTTCCGGCCGATGTGGGTACGTTGTTTTCCACCGAAGCGACTGGGAATGTTTCACTGGTGTTAGCATACGGTATCGAGAAGCGGGCCTAGGTCCCTGGGAAACACAAAAACACATACCGGTCAAGGCATCGTCACCGAGAACGAGTGATCGAGAAGGAGGGTGGTCGTCCTCCATGGTCATACACTTAAGGGACATGACGACCTTCATGCCGGGCCTGCTTTGTTCCAGCGAGTACCTGACAAGCAAAGTGTCGCCATCGTAATACACGGGGCAAGAGCCATTTGGGGGCCATGCGGGAGAGGAAATCTCGTCAAAGGAGGAAGGGTCGCGGGATTGCAGCCCACAAGCAAGGCCGAAAAATACAACTTGGGAGAGGAATCTACGTCCAGTCAGTCGATGCCACATGGTTGACACCGGCCGGGCCGTCTTTCGTCGCAAGGTGATTGCTGGAAGATTGGAGTCTCGAATGGGACTGTGTCAGGACTCTCACAAGACTGCGGAGAGGGGCTCATCGACAGGCTCTGCTGACGAACATCTGCAGGAAAGGGTTTGGCAATCCGCAGAGAGTCAAGAAAAAAAGCTTGGAGTCACGACTTCAGAATATTTACAAGGTATGTAGGCATCACCCCTTTATGCCGGCTTTGCATGCGAGCCGGCGTCCGGCCCCACCTCAACCCTGCCCGGACGTTACGACCCCGAATCGGGGTGGTGTTCTTTCCGCAGAGGCAACATCTACCTATTGCACGGTTCGCACCTTTTCGGCGGGCGACGGCCATGGTGGGGTAAAAACGACAAATCTCTTCTTCCAAAATCCTACTCCTGGATTCTTCTCCAAAACATCAACCCTTTGGCGGTCGATCAGATGGCGTTGAATGCTCGATAACCGCTTCGTCGCTTGTTCTTCTTTGGACCTTCCGACCATCCCAAATCCATCAAAGTCTGTCCCGAATGTTCACCTCGATAACTCAAAACCACCATCATGCAAGCTCGAACCTATGATGCGCATGATCGCCCCCCCAACTCAGCCCTCTCTACACCTGGCCCGATTTCTTGTGGCGGATTTACCTCCTTGCCGCTGAGCTCGTTCCCATAGTTCGTATGTGATTCCCCAGCTCTGACCCCATCGTCTCCCTTGTTCTCCACCGACTCTGATGCGGAAGCAGTACCAGCTGGAACCTTCGCTGTCTTCGCTTTCTGTCGCCGTCTCCTCCTCCACAAGAAGAATCCCAGTGCCAAAAGCGCAATCACGCCTACCCCGACACCGGCGCCTATTCCAGCTTTGGCGCCAGTGCTGAGCCCACCAGACTTCTTTAGGTCGTATGTCCCATTTCCGTCGATTATCTTATAATCCCCATTGGCGACCACGCCAAATCGATCCGCATAGGTTTTCTGGCGATGGTCTTTATCGTACCCGATCTGGATTGTGCTACTTTGAACCGTCACATCCTCGCCAGACGAACGGATCCGTGCATTGAGTACAAAGCCCAGGCAGCGGGACCGTATGCTGTCTGGAACTCCTGAAGCGACAGAAGAACAAAAGGAACAGTTCCAACGTATAACGGTATATCGCTCTGTACACCGACTGGGATTCCACCACTACATGTTGGCGTACCTTGTCACCAGAATGAGGCAGAAGTAAAAATCTCATACCGGCCGTTGCTTCGCTGACGTCCAGCGCCCAAGAAGGTGGGTACCTATCAGGTCGAGGCAGGCATTTGAGACTCATACGCAAAGAGGAGGCGAGCCCGCTGTCTTCCAACGTATACTTGACGAGTAGTTTGTCACCATTGTAGTGGAGCGGCGGAATATACGATGATGGGAAATAGAACCGATCGTAAACGGCGTTGTCACAAGTTCCCTGCGCATATACTCGGGTGAAGAGCAGGGGAAGTGAGAAGAGAATTGAAGTGTAAAGCAATTGGACCGCCATACTGGCAACGGAGAGAGATGTCATCGGCGGCTCAGACTGAACGATAAGGTCATATTTCAGCGAAAAAGTTCAGATTTGACGGAGGAAGGAGTTTGGGGGGGAAGCTCCCAGGTCAATGGTTTGAAGAACAGGATTTGATAACCACCTTCATGTCGCCTCCCGAGACTCGACGTCCCAGCCAGGAGCCTAGAAGAGCCTAGCTTCCCTCCATGTTTCAAGATCCGCAGGATTTCGTCTTGAACCAGCCACTTGTATGTTAGTACTGTATATCCTTGCCCAAGCAAGGAGGAGATAGTTGCATCGAGGTCATCCACCGTGGTTAAGAGAAAGTCTGTTGCAGGCGTCGGTCACCATGGTTGTACTGTACCCCATGCATGCGGGACGCAGGTCCTTCAGCACCTGGCAAATGGCGAGGAAGTGCGCTTTTGCCTCGGCGGTTGAGGCAATTCAGGAACAGGAGCAACATCTGGATCAAAGTTGGGTTTAATACACTCATTTGTTGCAATCCATCGTACGGCTTGTTAAAACCAAAATGCGATGCGGTACCACGAAATGTTCACGCCCCACTCCGGGCCGGGCCGGACCCCACCCGGGCCCGAAAAGGGGGACCCCTCTGCTTCTTTCCCCGAAGATGGAACACCTTCGCAACTCGCACCTTCCGACTGATCATTCCCATTTGTGGATGCGTGACGCAAGACGTAAAAAGTCAATCATTGGTAGGGCAAGTTTTTGAATGGTATATTCAAGACGAGGAAGAGAAGAATACAGGTGGAAGAGAAGGAAGAGGGAGACCACCCCTATACAACACCCAAGGGCAGATCTGCCACAGAGCCCGTAACGGTGGGCGATGATTTATACCGACCTCTACCAACAGCGGCAGACTGGCACAGGCCCCAGATTATCAGTGGCAGGACCTGCTGCACTTGGGCCATATAAGTACCAAATTGTAGACCTTTCACCACGGCCCAGTAGTCTACTTAGTAGCGCGTTGGGTCCAGAAAATGCGTGGTGTTTTCCTATGCTGTGTCATTCGCCCCCTGAGCCTCCGAGTTTGACCGGTGTGAACGGCAAGCTAGCTTTTTTCTTTTTTTTTCTACATTATCCAGCTACTTGCCAATTATTTGAATGTTTGAATGTTAATTGCGTCCCTCGTTTTTTGTATCGTCTGAAGACCACTTTGGCACTTTTCCTCACCCTCAACCAAAGAAAGTTCGGTGCTTATTCCAAGCCACGGTGCTCGGCCGCTGCCCATTATTTTCCCTTTCTACACAAACAGTAGGGACAATCTTTCGTCTTCATCGCCTTCTTTTTCGCACTCAACGAGCACCATGCCATAGGTGTGACTACGAGAAACGTATACACTTCATCACCACTCCGATCTCCTCCTTTTCCGAGGTCTCGAAAGAGTCTTAACATCTTTCTGTGGCAAAACAAGAAGCAGTCGGTTTGAATGCGGTCAAATTAAGTCTTTCAGTTATCCGTCATGCTCGTCCCAAGCTCCACTCACAAATCATCCCATAAGATATCTTTACCACGACAATAAGGTAAGTGGGGAGTTTTACCCCGACAATATTACCTTCCAGAAGAACATCATGGAAGTTCAACCCTCGGCTGCTCTTGCCCATATCCCACCTCTGCCCGCTGAACACCCAGTCCCTGGCGTTGCTGAGTTCACTCAGATGCTTTCCATGCAGCTCCGCGACATTCACATTCTCTCCTCGATCACCCTCCTCCGGCTTAGAACTGCTGCTACCGACAAAACCCTTTCCCTCTTGGCGTCTTCTCCTCCACAAGAAGAAAGCCAACCCCAAGAGAGCAATCGCTCCCACTGCAACGTCGGTGCCTATTCCAGCTGATACGGCACTGCTGAGTCCTCCTTTCTTTTTCCTTGTCTCTCCCATAGCACCTGTGGCCTCTGGGTTCCGGAGACCCTTCGTCCGTTGCGCTGGCGTCTACCTTTGAACCGCTGGGGGAGGTAGTGGTGCTCAACGTGGATGCCGTTGACGCAGATGGCTCCGTGGTTGGTGCCGAAGAAATCGCAGTCTCCAATGACGAAATGTCAGATACCATTGACGCAGCCGTGGTTGACACCAAGGAGGTTGTGGTTAAGCTTGGTGAAGCCGTCGAGGTAACCTCATCACTGGTGGAGGATTCTATTATTGTCGTTGTCGAAGTCGATGTAGAAGACGAGGTTTCCGCACTGGATATTGCCGGGGGAAAGGACTCATAGGTTCCAATTCCAGTTATGATGGGATAATCCCCATTTGGCACCTCTCCTTCAATTCCATATGTCTTTCTGAGACGGCCTTTGCCAGTATTGTAACCAAGCTCAAACTTTTCGCCTTGAAGCTTATGATCCCCATTGAGAATAAAGGCACAGGACGGGCCGCCTGTCTTCGCTTGCATATCACACAGCGACGGAAGCTCAAAAGGAACCGTTCCGCTGTGCGAAGGTACATCTCCCTTTGAAGCCACTGATGGTAGTTCACCCTTTGTTAGCTTACCAGCGTCAGGAAGTCAATCAGGTTGATGAAATACGTACCGGTCAAAGAGCCGCTATCAGCGTCTGGGAATGCATCATGGGAGACATCCCATTCACTGCTGGCTACGCATTTTAGGGTGAGGCTCGGCTCAGCAATTGTGCTTATATACCTCACGAGCAAGGTATCCTGGTCGAAGTAGAGAGGAACAGATCCTTTTCCGTTGGGGAACTAGAACTGGTCAATATTGATAAAGACGCCATGGTCCTGTCCTTTACCATGCGCGACAAACGAGGTAAGTAAGCAGATAATTTGGAGACTGGAAAACCGTCTGGCCATGATCAGCGACAGAACTTCGGGATGATGTGTGAGAGGGAGGAGCGGCGCAAGATTATGAATGCTCACGAACCGTCGGGGTTCAGGCAATAACGGCGGCGGAAAAGCTCCATCAGCCAAGAACCCAAAAAAAAGAGGACCTCACCGCAACCATGCCCGACAACCTGAAGGATTTTGTTCCCGGAACATCATGCCGTGAGCCACCGATAAGTGATCACAATAAAACCCGAACACGTTCTACGTGTTGTTTGGCTACCACTCGTTCGGTTTATTCTTTTCATACCGTTGGCTACCCACCTCAAATGTCATCGATGTCACATTCGGAAGGTGAGATTTTGAGGTCATCGGGTTGGTAGAAACAAGAGCTGTGGCACGGGTACGCACGCATTCATCACCGTGGCCACACCGTTACACTGTGTTGTTCGCACTAGTTCCTGGGTTCTGGAGACCCGAACATCCTCAAGCTATTTAACACCTGCGTACAGGTAGGAGATAGAACAGCCGTACAAGCAAAGAGGAGCTTGAAACCTAAACGAGGGCAGGGCACAGGGTTGAGAGAGGAAAGGAAGAACAACAAAATCAACCGCGACAAGGAGCACTTATACAGATTGCCCCGTACCTCCGGCTTAGCAAAGCTTGCCCGGACTTGGCACAGTTGGCCGGCGACGACGGCGACATCAGCGAGCGGAACCTGTCAGGAGGTAGATTGCGGTTGTTTTAGTTGGAGCCGTTTTCCACTAGAAAAGTGAATAGCACCTTCCAAAACTTCGCCCAATTATTCAGCGATTGCAGACGACGAGAACAGGAGCGGACATTGGACGCGGCCCCACTCCCGGACCGCGCCGGGCGGGGAGGGGACCGGACCACCGTACGCCCCGATTCATCCGGCTGAAAAGCATACTCCCGATTCGCGACCAACCCGGGAAGTAACCATCAAATACGTATGTGATTACACCATCCACCTTAGTGAGTCGCATTTCTCAAGTCACCGTCGTGAATAACTTATTAAGGTCCAAACATTCTCTTGTCCAATACCGTCTATTCATGTTTCCGTCCGTATCCAGGCAACCACGATGAAATCTCCTCAAAACAGGCAGTAGTTTTGGAGAACCTTCACTTGCTTAATGCATTTTATAGCTGAATAGGGCAAGCATGGCAGGCCGAAGGCTATTACATATGAACAATAACAATAGGAGCATAAATCTTGCCCTGCAGGCTGCAGGTATAAGAGTTGAGCCCCGGTGAGTACTCCTCACCAGGCGTGAACGCAAACCAGTATGGCCTTCTTTGGACAACAAATCAACATAAAATCTTCACATTTACCCTTTCTTCAGAGCCTTACTCAACCAATACCAATAAACGTCACCAATACCAACAAACATCACCAACATCAACCTACGTACCATGCACCCCTCCGAGCTCCTCGACCCAGGCGACCGCGCCCTCTTCACCTTCACCGAGCGCACACCTCACGGCCCCAGGCAATCCCGGTGGTACTTCGGCGTCTCCTACCACGTTTACGACGGCCACACACCTCATCTCCAAAACCCCTTCCACGACAACCACGCCTGGATCATCTACGAATATCTCCCCTTCATTAACCGTAGTATTCCATGGCAGCCCCGATCCGAACCGCCGCCCATGTCCATCGCCATCTACCGCCCCATATTCATTGACTACAACCAACCTTACGCTATAGGTAATCTCAACGTGCTCCTACCGCCGTCCATCAACCCGCCGCCCCTGGGCGTTACGACGCAAGTCATCCGTGACCGGTGGATGGCTAGTTTTCACTTGCTTACTCACCTCGACGACGACGAATGGGAATGGGTGAGGGATAGGCTCCTGCGCAACTTCTTGACTGGGAGAAGCAGGGTTGCGACAGCCGGGATAGTCCAGGACGGCCAGGACTTTATCACCATGGTGTTGGTGGAGGGGATGAGTCAAAGGGGGAGCGTTAGCGATGAGGAGTATCGGGAGTGGTGGGATGGTGTGGAGATGCATTGGAAGGGGTTTAGGACGGTGGACGGATTTGAGGGATGAGGGATGAGGGATGAGCGATGAGAAAACGAGGCTACCTATCTCTAGGGAGAAGGTTAGGGTTGGAAGAGCTGAGATAATAAGTCCCGTGCCCATGATATTGCCGCCTCGAACGTAGAGAGGGATATGAGGGGAGGGTGACTTGGAAGTGGAAGTGAAGAAGTAGAAGAGGAGGAAGAGGAAGAGGGAAGAAAGACTGACAGTAGAGGGGTACCCCTAGAGAGCTTGGTGCAGCTCAGGGTGGTCAAGGAAGTCGTGAACACCATTGCGCAATGAAGGGGAAGGTGAAGGTGGAGGTGAAAATCAGATGTGATCGACGGGATTCGGTTAACCGTGGGAAAGGACGCCACAGGTAGCAGATTGTCATCGCCTGGGGCAGGGAAGCCAAGTGGAAGGGAAAGGGTGGTCAGGACCTGGAATGCTGACCTGCAGCGCTTCTGCAGACGGGAGGAGCAGGTGCCTGGATTTTGGTGGTCGAGATGTAAGGCAATTAGCGATCATGACCCCTGGATTTTAGCGACCCATCAGTGCTATCAGCTTGTTAGTGGTGCCCTGGTTGGATCGACCCATTCTGATTGGCCAAGATCCATTCGCAAAAGAGAGAAGGAACAAAACAGACACACAGAGGACACTCGTTCATTACATTGCCAGCGCCTAAAAAAATAGAAAAATACTAGAGCTCCTGTGAGTTGTTGACGGCAAAGCTTTATTTAAACGCTGTGTTTTATCCGTGACATGAAAGATGGCGTCATCTTTCCCTTCAATCTGGGAGCTATTCACCAACTGCTAATCATGCTCAAACAAAAAGACAGTGATCAAGGCCTAACTTCTCAAGATCTTCCATAAACTGCCTCCTCGGAATCAGGAACCTAAAAATATCCCATAACCTCCTTGTCTCCATCAGAAGACGACACACCTCGCCTGCTATTGCTACATTACACTCACCAACCTCTCCTCGCCTTCAACTCACAGCACCACCAAAGCCCCTATCACCATGAACGCGGCCAGTGGTCCGGTAACAAAGCAAGCAAACCAGGCTCGTGAGTACGAGGACCCGGCGCCAGAGCCGTGGGCAGATTGGTCAGTAGGTTCCGGAGGCATGCCAACAACGGTCCGATACAGCAGATCGCCTGCTGGAGTGTAACCAGGGAACCCCGACATGGTTGCGGGTGCACATTCGAATGAATGCCAGATCTTGCCTCCCGTCGGAAAGGTCTCGTAGATGGTGTCGGTTACGGCGTTTTCGAGGATTGAATCACTAGATAGGTAAGGGAAAAATGAAGCCATTAGACAGGGGAAATTTCAAGTCTTGGAAGGTTCTTCGGAAAAGAAGCCACGGGCAACTGTTGAGATTAAATCATGGGGTGCCGGTGAAACGGAAGACGTACCAGGAGGTACCCACTCCGCCTTTCTCCATGTATATCGAGCTGTCCACGACCGCTGTTGCAAAACATGCCTTGGATGCGTCACTGTCACAACAGCCAAAGAAAAGGAGGATGAAGTCATGAACACACTACCATCAATACAGAGGAGCGTCGCAACTGGAATGAAGTCAATAACCTCCCCAAGAGCAGAACCATTGCAAAACCAAGCCATGGGACATTGGCTGAGTAAGTACCGATCACAGATCTAGCGGCCAAGCGCGGGATGAGACAGAGTAGGTACTCACAGTCGAAGTTGGTATGCCCCTGATCATCTGTGCTAAATAACGGCCCAGGTACTACGCCAACGGAAGCAGGATCGGGAGGAGCAGTTATATGAGCAGTCTGAGCAGTCTGAGCTAACGTGAATCTGAGAATGAAGAGGCCAAGAAGGCAGATGATCGATTTAGCTTGGTTGAGCATTTCCAAGATCGTTTCGTTTGAGCGTTTCAGACAAGGCAGTAACTATAAAGGGCAGGGCAAACAAAGCGGCGTCTTGAGGTCTTGGTCTTGAAGAGGATTGTGTTCTCTCTGAATTGTCAACACTGGGGAGAGGAATGGTCTTTTGTAGAAGCCGAACCGAACTGAATGACGATGGACGGATAGTGACGTGGAACGTCGTGAAACATTTGCCGGAGTTAATGGTAGGTGAGAAAACAGGTGAAGCCGCTATGAACCAATAAGCCTCCGGCAGCTTACCATCAATGGTTCGTGACAGGAGACAACTCCTTCGGTGGAACGAGCATCTGCTAGGTTCCACGTAACCCGGTAAGTAACCTGAGTACCGAAGAGAAACAGCAAAGCTTCTCGTTAGTTATGAACATCATCCCGGTCTCTGCACTCTGCCTGTCTGTCGTCTTTCCTTCAACCAACTATCAAGGCTCCAAGAACCACAAGGGCCGCGACGGGGCCGGCAACAAAACCTGCAATCCGAGCTCTGGAGGAAGAAGAGCTAGCACCGGAATTGTGGCTGCTGTCGTTGCCGTTGTGCGTAGTGGTAGTAATTTCAGTGGTAGAGGCCGAAGAAGTAGTATTGGTAGACGTCATGGGCGTCATATAGGTCGATGTTGCGGTAATTTTCGGGACATTCCGGTAGATCAATGACGTCTCAGTCTTGTCTTCCGAGACGCACGAGACGCAAGAAACAGCGATCCAGTTTTGTTTGAACAGGAGTTCGGCGGGCCAGGAATCAAAGAGGGTATAGGCCAGAGGGACCTCGTTGTCGGTGCTAAAGGGAAAAGGTAGAATGGTCAGAATGGAACATGTTGGTATTCGTGGCCAGTGTCAAGGGATGGGTATTGCACAGTGGTCGCTTGGTAGACTGCTTGTGTGGGACTTGAATCAATCCAGAGTTGAACGTACCATGTATTAGTTTGTTTACCATCGGCAAACAACATCGTGTTCTCCTTAACGGCTGTAGCAAAACAAGCTCCGATGTACGTCCGGTATTGCAACAGCCAAAATTTTGAGATGAAGTGCTGAAGCTTTTTCCAAGCTCACACTTGAACGTATCATCTGCGAGGCATGTAGTTAGTTGCCGAAAAATTGAAGAAGATGGATAAGAAGACGATAAGACAACGAGAATTGAATTGCATGATACACTGGGAAGGAGGCTATAAGCAATACTTACAGGCAATGTCAGTGCTTCCATGTTCGTCTATTGTAAGTCCCACCCAATAACCGACAAGCGTGGAAGGGTGAACCGGAGGAGTGGTTGTCAGAGCCAATGCGAGCTGGGCAAATGGAATTCCAAGGAGGTACCAAAACACCATTGAGTGGACCATCTGCGGCAATATATTCGTTTGGGCTATGTTTGGGCGTGAAAGACGAACGATCTTACAAAGTCTTGGTGAGAATGGGAATGGTTGGGTTACTGCTGCGCTATGGTTCAACGAATCGACCACACTTGGGAGTCCAAGATTTTTAATAGAAATCAGAATGTCCAAAGAGAATGTAGATGATCACGATCACTTACTTCAGCATCATATCGACGCTACACCTTGCCCCATCCGAGCCTCATAGAATAATATGAGACCAGCAGATCCAAGCGCTGTTGACCGACAACACCATACGGCTTGCAGCAAACAAGTGTGATACGTTCTACTGAAGTAATCCGAGTGTTTTACAGGAGAAAATCAGAGGCAGAAGCATCCCCGTACAGCAGGGCCTATCCCAAGCGGGCTGGATTCCAGGCAGGCCTCGCCAATGCGGTTCTCCGCCGTTGGAAAACTACCATGCGTTAGTTTCGCCGCTCCCGTAGAAGACACCCTGCGCTCACCTGGTTTGCTCTCGGTACAATATTGTATGTTCCCCTCGTTATTTGATCTTGTGTGCCCTAAACTCGGTATCCGTGGAACCTAGCACATCCTGTCTCACTTCCCCGCCAGGCAGCAAAATATGAGATGCGTTGAAAACGTTGAGAGAACATGCAGGGTTCAAAGAGAGAAGGAACAAGAGAAAGGGAGTGGTAGGGGAGAACAAGAAAGGCTGTATGGGGTAAGGAAAGCATCAAAGACCTTATCGGAACTATGTTTGCCCCTTTTGAAAAGCTCCGAATGTCAACTCAACGGAGGTTCACTTCAAGACAACATGCTTCCACTTGGAGGGATTCTCAGGAGCCACTTGAAAATTTCTCTTGACCACAGGTGGATTGTTGTGTACAACACCATTTCTGTTGCTCTTGACTACCATCGTTTTGGCAGCTGGTAGCTGAACGCACAAGTGGTGGTCAACGATGCGAAGGCGAGGTGGCCGCTGAATCAGATGTATCACTATTAAAAGAGCGCTGCGAGTCGCTGACAGTCTGTTAGTGGTATATCGACTTGGGGCTGAGCCACTAAATCCTGGCGCCGTGTCGTTGCAAATGGCAGCAGGCAGACCCTCCCCTCTTTTGATTGTCCTGGGTTGTGAACAATCTGAGTGTTTGGAAGGTGATGGGAAGCCCTAATAAGTCAGTTGAAGGCGTAACAGCTTGCAGCCACGTTGAGAAATAATAAGCTGCTGAGGTTCACGAAGAAGATGGTGCGTTGAGATGATGCCCCTGGTGGTTTAACGTTCCATGTGTTTGCGAGAGATGATCTGGAATCGTGGTGACGTCGGGAAGGATGCCAAGAAACAGTAGACTGCTGACGTTTATGCACTACCAGTACCACTGTATTGACTTTATACAATAGAGATAGGGCAGTAATAATCTCTGTGGTTCATGCTCACCGACAGGGCATTGCGTCGGTCCCCCCAACGTCGCTTCCCTGTTCTCAATCCCCATTCAAGCCTTGCTACAGGTTCTGATCTGTGGAGGGCGCTCTCAATCATGATATGCTCAAATATTATGGCCTGTCTAGTATCTTATTTCTTTTATCAAATCCACTGCTTTAATTACACACTGATGACGCATGAGCCATGTGAGGTGCAATATTGCTCAACAGAACCCTACCCGTTACACATATCACAAGAATTACAGGTGCCTCCAGGGCGGCACGGTGCTATAGCTCACTGAGCTTTGGGTGACCTTTCAGATACAACCTGATTGTCACGAACATCATTTCCGTCTTAACAGTCGAGAGACCTGACGACGAAATATACACAGGACACTCGTCAATTACAACACAATCTCAAGCCAGTCAGAAGTTTTAAACTGTTTAGAACCATATAACTGATGTTACCTCTGCTCATTTGTCCATTTACGGTATTTCTGCCAGTCAGGGCAGAAGGTGCAAAGGTCTTTGCCATTCCGTAGCCAGGCAGTGCCGAGTGTTTTATCCGAACGATAACGAATGAAGCGATCTCCATCTTTTCCAAACGAAGGAGCAAGAGTTGCCCAGCGATTTTGGTCAGCAATGCCCTGCATTGCAGGCTGTTGTCCATCTGAATCCTCCTCGACGACGTCACTCAAATCAAGGAAGAAGGCCTTGGAGCAGATGTCGCGTTTATGATATAATTCGGATTCGGTTTCACTTATTGATGCAGAGTCCGTCGCCATTGTGTTATTGTTTGGCACAGTCGCTTCTCGCGGGACGATTGTTAATCCGCGTTCAGTTGCTGATGCCAATGTAGAAATCGCCGTAGGGGCTATGTCGATCGGCTCAACCCATTCGGCCAGTTCAAGGTGGATGACGGATGTATCTACCATGTCCACTTTCCTTGTGCCTAAACAAGGGCACTTTCTCAGGAAGCGCCCAAGTGTTGCTTTGGAAAGCGGCATCGCCGATTGCGCCCCGAAAGAGGTAGACAGCAGGTAAAACAAAGATTCTGAAGATGAAGCCAGAGCTGAAGGGCGAGAAAATGCAGAAGTGGCGGGCGAGAAGCTTCAGCACTTTCGGTTGCCAGGATCGGAAAGGAGGAATAGAGGCGGATAAAGGAAAGGGGATCTGGGACTTGGAGAACATGGAACTGATAAAGATCACATTGGCGTCGGGTAATCCAAGCAGTGAGAGTTCGTTTGTTTCACGTATTAACCGGCCCAGGCAGCTGCGAAGCCATCCTAACCTGGACGTACGAGGCAATTGAGAACTGTCATTTCCAGCGTTGATGTCCAAGGCGCCTGTGGTGTACACGCTAACTTTCTTTGCAAGCGTTTTGGCCGGGTACTGCTATGTACAGGTAGCAGGTGAACAACAGTACCTACGACAGCCACCCGCGGTTGCCAGCTGCCAATGAGTGGAACAGATACCTGCCACCGGCGGGAACACTCAACATTTCGATGCCTGGAATTAAATATCACTAACAATTCGACATCGACATTGGATTGCCCAGTCATAACGCCAAGCTCCCGTCCATGGAGGTACCGTCCCACATGCCCAACTGAATGCTAAAAGACTAATCACCATCAAGTAAAGGAAGGGAAGCCGACAAACGCTCTCATGTTCTCAACTTCCCCTACCCATCCCCGCCCCCCCTCCTCCACCCTGTGCCCCCTCGTCCCTCTCCCAAATCAAGTTCCTTCCCCATTTCCTGCCCAGGACCAATCCTGCCTTGCCCATCACCCTCTTTACCGTGCTCATCGCGCCCAGTACTCGTAGTCGGCCAACTACCACCAGCATCACTCCCAGCCTCGTCATCCTCCCACCGACTCCCATTCAAGCTGCTCAATCCCGTCATCCCCAACACCTCCTCCTCTTCCCTTCCCATTGGCCTGTGGCGATGACCTGTACTTTCACTTGTACTCCCATACCCCCCTTTTCCCGCTTTCCCTCTCCGTGGCGGCGGACTCGAGATCGTCGCCGGATGCTCAGACGAGAAATTGGTGTCCATGACAGTCTCATGGTCCCAATCCCTCATCTCCACGAACCCGAAACCCTGCGAATTCCTCCTTCCATGATTCCCACTCATGACACTCATTACCCCGCCGCTCATTCTCCTCCCTGCCCCCGCGGCTGCCTGGCCCAAACTTTCGGACAACCTCCTCTTCTTTTGCAGTCTAGCCCCGTTTCCATTGCGTCCCTTCATCTGTCGCTGGCGCTGCTTCAGCCTTCGTTCGTGCGGACTATCTCTATCGCCGGCGCCGGCGCCGTCTGCGGGGAGGTTGTTATCGTGGACAAGACGAGGTAGCAAGCGGGCGAGCAGAGGCTTAAGAGTCATGAGGCAGGCGATGGTGATGGAGACGTTGAGCTCGACGGCGGACCAGCAGGTTACGGGGGCGTTGTCGTAGGAGGGGTCCGTAGAGGTGGCGGAGAGTTTGAGGGAGTAGAGGCGGATGATGGAGACTATGCAGATGCTAACACAACACAATACAACACGCAGAGGTGGGTATTGATTAGCCATGGTAGTGGAAGGTAAAGAAGGGAAGGCAAACAAAATCCAAGTGAAAACAGCAAAAACAAAAAGAATTGGGGAAAAAATCTCACAAAAAACCCACCCCAAAAACCCCAAACAACCACCCCCTCTCCTTCCTCCCTAAGCTCTTCATGCCTCTAACCACCGGGAACGGCAACGCCCAAATGACAAAGTCCGTGGCAATGTTGACGCTCGCATCAGCCAGGTACTTTTGTTCCTTGTTGAAGCACCAACCTTCTGTTGCAGCACCAGTACTATCACCATCACCATGTCCGTTTCCGTTTCCATTTCCGTTTCCCTTTGCCGTTGTCGGATCATCAGACTCAGACCGAGACTCAGAGAAAGAAGAAGAAGGTGTCCAGCTCATTGAAATCGGGTAGCAGAAAAAGACGCATGTCAAGACGTTGTAGACACCAATTATCGAGACGACGACGATCATGCACCAGGAGATGCGGCGGACGGTGGTGGAGATGTGGAAAATGTCGGTGAACATGAGGAGGATGGAGAGCTTGGTGAGGGTGGCGGTGATGTTGTAGATGATTATGTTGATGTAGACTACCTGGGCTCCGGTTGGTGTTAGTTGGACGACAGAAGAGGCTATATGAGGATGTGATGGCGGTGGTGGTGGTGGTGAGGAAGTCGAAGGGCATACTTTCAACATAGGAACCTCCTCTTCTCGAGGGTTCTCCCAGATATGTTTCCCGAGTCCATGATCAACCTCTGTTGTCGGCGTTAGTAAGTAAATATGTCAGTCTGTGGAGTGTGGAGTGCTTTTACGATGGATGGACACGGTACAGTCCTCAGGAGGTCAGACGGATTTCTTGCAGTGGAATTAAGAAAAAAGAAACGTACGAAGACCATGAGTTACGGTGGTGGCTACGGAGAATAACTACAAATTGACGGGCAGCATCTATTAGTCTCTTCACTTTTGGGATCCGACTTCGTCATAAATGTTGAGGTTCACAGCAACAGCAATAAATTGTCTGACAAGAATCACATGTTACGAAGTTACGTACAAGAGCAGCAGCGATAACCCAATCCGAAGGTCTCAGAACCCGACACAAGTATCCCCTCGAAATAAAACGAAGGACGACTGTCGTAGCGGCAATGAAAAGCGTTATGAAGGAACATGCAAAGACACCAGCGCCACGAGACGACCACGTCATGACTGGCTGCGGTGATATGTCGGCTGCTTCTTCCAGTGCCGCCTTTCTCCTCGTTATTGCTTAATGCCGGTGTGTTTCTGAGAGCTCGCGAGGACGACGTGCAACATTGGACTTGTCGTTGTCGATGACCGAGGAGACGGCCGAGACCGGTTTCTCTCTCGGCTTCGCATGCGTCGTTCTTGTTGCAATGCCTCGTCACCGTTCCGGAGCCGGATGACGGACCGGGGATAAGGAAAATCGGAGAATCAAGTTTGTTGTGTTTCCCCGGGGCCCCTTGGTTCAAACGGCCTTGCAGGCTCCTTGCAGCAACGAAGCAACGAAAGAGTCTCGGCGACCTGAGCGACCGCCAACGTTTGAGAAATAGAGTGACAAAAACAATGTTTTGGTCAAAACAAAAAAAAAAGACAAGACAGGTAACAAAAGGTTGAAAAAAGGAGGTGAAGAAAACCCAGACCCAGACCCAGACCTAGCTAGATCTGTCCGCTACAAGACCCCTATCCCACCGAACGGTCACCAAAAAAGATTCCCTGTCACCAACTGGCCAGCCAACCACAAGTGCCGAAAGGCGGACAGGGATTGATTCTCAATCGGCCCTTGAGAGCTCGACCGAGACCGCGAGGCGCGCCAATCGTTTTTCGTTGTGATAACGGCTTGATAGGGGCATGGGGCCGAGATTACGGCCGCGTTCGCTGTTCTGAACACGGCTAGCCCGATGCGGCGGAAAACGGCGCTTGCTCCGGTCCGCTTACTCGGTCGGGAAATGGGGTCCGGGGTGAAGGCGGCGGCCAAGAGAGGAAGGCTTATGGAAGTTGTGGAGATGGTGGGAATGGGATAATCATCGCCGAGAGAACGGATGTATAAGACGAAGCAAGGGAGGTTGTCGACAGAAGCAGTAATCATCATGAACTTTTGTTTGTCAGGAGAACCGGGGAGACTCATGTTAAAAGCTTCGTCCGTCGAGCTGGAACCGACACATTGGTAACAGACAAGGCTCCCTTGAACAATATGCTTGCCTTTGATACTCCACCGCCTGTCGGGTGTTGGTCTGTTTCACACGAATTTCAAATCTTTAAGTCAACCATTCGCAGACGAAGATACCGAGTTTCACCCTGACCGCGTGTTGGCACATCATCGCCCTACGAGCCGGAAGCTTAACATTAATTCACCTGATGTCCTGTTTTATTCAGCCTTTTTACGCACAAAATCATTTCATCACTTACGCCCCAGCGCTCATGGTCTGCAGCTTGTACTGCTCGTCGCCCTTCTTCCTCTCTTCCTCGATGATCTCCTGCACCGACTTGGATCCCGTGCTGACCCCATAGTACTTCTCGGCCAATTCGATGCAGCGCAGATTGGCGGCGAGCTTGTTCATGGTCTCCATCCACTCCTCAGTCTTCTCACTGTCGAACACAATACCACCACCCGCCTGCAGGTAAGCAACCTTATTCTTAACCAGCATGGTGCGGATAGCAATGCAAGTATCCATCTGTCCTTCGGTCAGGAAGGTTGTAAGAGGGGCGTCGCCCTCACCGCCCTCCGTGCGAACGACATCATAGGCGAACCAACCGGCAGCGCCAGCATAGATGCCACGCTTCTCCTTCTCCAAGTCGTAAATCAGCTCCATGGCACGAATCTTGGGCGCGCCTGACACGGTACCGGCGGGGAAGATGGAGCGCATAGCGTCCCAACGGGTGCATTCGGGTCGCAGCAGGCCGGAGACCTCTGAGGTAATATGCTGGACGTGAGAGAAGCGATCGATACGCATGAGGCGGTCGACCTTGACCGTGGACGGGTGACAGACACGGTTGACATCGTTGCGGGCCAGATCGACCAACATGACGTGCTCGGCGCGGTCCTTGGTAGAGGCCAGCAGTTCAGCCGCAAGCGCGTCATCCTCTTCCGAGTTGAGGCCACGCTTGATGGTACCAGCAATGGCATGGTTGACGATCTTGGGGCGAGAGCGGGCCTCGGCAGCGCTATAGCCGAAACGAGTATCCTCGGGAAGGTTGGCATAGCCGTCGGTCTTCATCAAGCATTCGGGCGAGGCGCCAACAATGTGGAAATCGGAGCACGAGAGAAAGAAGAGGTATGGCGAGGGGTTGAGTGTGCGCAGAGTACGGTAGATGTTGAAGGGGTGTAGGCTGGTGCTGCGAGAAAAGCGCTGAGAGGGGACGGCCTGAATGATGTCACCCTTGACGATGTTCTTCTTGAGCTCCGTCACAAACGTCTCGTAACCGTGGCGTCCAACGTTGGAAGCATATGTCTGGTCGGAGGCGGGATCACTCTCGAGCGTGGGGGGAAGCGGCGTCTCGGGCTGGTTAACCACATCGAGGGTCGAGCGAATCTTGTCGCAAGCCGCGTTATATGCCGCCTCGAAGTCGCCGGAGGGGTCTTCGGGAAGTCTGACATGGGTGACGAGGGTAAAGGCGGAAGAAAAGTGGTCGAAGGCGACTACGGTATCGTACAGCATGAAAAGGGCCTCGGGAATATGCAGGTTGTCCTTGAGTTCGCGGCCCTTGACCGTCTTGGGCTCGAAGTACTTGATGCAGTCGTACGAGATGTAGCCGACAGCGCCGCCGGTCAGCTTGGGTAGTCGGAGGGCGGGAATGCTGAGGACCTTGTCCTTGGCGAGCTCCTGCTCGAGGGCTCTCATGGGATCGCCGACATCTTGGTAACCGGGGCCAGTCGCGAGGACCTTTCGGGGGTCGGCTCCAATGAAGCTGTAGCGGCCGACTGTCTCGGTGCTGCCAGTAGCGCTCTCGAGGAGGAACGAGTATTCAGCTGTCGCTCTAGCGGAGTGAGTCAATTGAGCTATCCGGGACGGGACACAAGGCGAGGGAGATGTTTGGAAGCAAGACGCACCCTTTGGAGAGCTTGAGGTAGATGGCCGAGGGCGTCAAGAGGTCGGCAGGCAGGGAGATGCAGAGGGGGAGAAGGGTGGGCCTTGGGGATGTTGTCGATGTTGCGGATGCTTGGCATGTCTGGTCGAAGAGCTTGCGCGCGTCCTCCAGGGACGGCTTGATATCGAGAGCAGCCATCTTGAACTGTCACGTCAAAGCAAAAAAAGGAGGAAACGGGAACAGAAGGGGATTCCCTGGGTGGAATTGCACAAGTGGAAAGTGGAAAGAGCCAGTGGATTTGGCGAGAGGCAGATGTCAAAGTGACCGATCGCGGACGCTGTCGCAACCGTCAGGGTGGCAGCTTCCCTCGCTATAATTTTCACCGCCTGCCGCGTTAGTGACTCACGGAGTGGAGCTTCCCGCCAAAAGGTGCCGGAACGGCGGGGTCTGTTCCTGCTTGAATGCAACCTTGACGGTCGATAAGCTGATAAAGGCCCACGTCAATCAAGCTGTTAGTGTACGCGCATATTAGAGCCTTGTCTGCTAACTTGGCCGATACATTCAGAGGTCGCTTTATTGATGATATTGGAGGACCATTCCGGCTTCCGAGTAACCAAAACAGAACTCCTTTTGTCTTCTTCTGACTATCAAGATATAGCAACGGGATAGATTCGTAAAGCCATTTCTTCACTCACCGTTGTCCATTTATTCATAGGAATAACTCCTCACCAGAGTTGCACGGGAACATGCCTAACGATAATAACCTCTGATATCCACTCTCATCAACTCCAATTCACTTCAACTTTCCAGCGTGTTTCAAAATATGTTCATTATTCATGCCGTAGGTATTGTCCCAAGGGGGTATAATATATATCAGTGAATGGGAAAAAAGCGTTAATGTCGTACAATCGTCCATATCGTCGCCTCTTCCACCCGGTCACTCTTCCGTCCGTTGGTAGTGGCCTTAATGCTCCGTCTCATCAATGCTCCCTTTCCCCATATTCAAATGCTCTCATCCACCCATGCACTCCCATTTCATTTCGTTTCCCTTAATACCTCGACACACTCCGGCTTCGACTCCTCCTAGCGCTCCTCCCCCTCCGATCGTCATACACGTACTTCGGCTCGGCCACCACAACCGGCACCTCGCGCATCGACGACCTTCTCGAATGGCTCCTATGCCTAGAATGACCGCGGCCACGGCTATGCGAAGCCTCACCCCGCCCACATGTCTGGGCGGATACTCGTCCCTCACGCCATGGTACCAAGCCTTGCCGTTGGGCTTGTCGTCTGTTGGTGGAGCGCCCAGGTTGGAGCAGCTGCGGATGATCCAGATGAGGAGCAACAGGCCGGCAATAGAGCCGATGACGATGCCCGCGATGGCACCGCCGCTCAGAGTTGAGGCATCAGTGGGGTCGTCGTCGTCATCGTCGGCGGCTTGGACGACTGTTACTGTGGCGGCGGGTGGTGCGTCTTGCCGCCTGGTGATGGGACTGAGAGTTCTGGTTGGGTGGATGGCTTCGACTCCCTGTAGGGCTGGGTACACGACCCGTTTGAAGATGATGTTTTCGAACTTGTCGATCGTTGAGGCGGGTATGTGTGGGAGTGGTAGGGGAGCCATTGTGGACGATTTGTTTTGAATCGTGAAGTTGGATATATTTTCACTGATCAGTTTTTGCTAGGATGTGAAGGCTGCCGGTAGAAGACTCTGTAAAGACCCCTGAGAATACGAGGTGACTGAGGATTAGTTATAAAGGTCCTTCGCCTTTAAGGGTATGTGTGTCCCTGGCATTTCAGAAATCAAGAGTTCTTTTCCATGACTGCACGATGTGCACATGTTTGCCGGCTTTTCCAGTCTCATGTTGAAGGGCAGTTGGGGCTGGGAGCTGGTGATGTAATTGTACATGATGGAGGGCATCTTGTTTAAAACTGGTTAGCATCTCCCGACGATATTTTTGTTTCGGCTTTTGCGTGAGTGTCAGGCCTGGCTTCTGAATGGTTCATCACCAAAACATGGCTGGAAACACGCATGGCTGGGCCCGACATCCACGTGTAGCCCGGATGTCGATCATGGCGAGACTTCCTCGGCTTGCAGGTGTGTAAACAACTGCTTAATGGGAGACAACGGGGGATCATAGGATTCTCTCTCCCTTGAAACCGATGGAGAATAACTATTCTCAACGTGTAATTTGAGTGCGCAAATTGGTACTCTCTCCATCATCCGCATCGCGATTCCACGAAGTGAAGCATGTTTGCCGGGGTCACAATTCGTCATCAGGAAGGGAAAGAGTGAGTGAAGACATTCCCTGATTGAGCCATTGGCTCCTTCGGGAATGGGATTTGATGACATTGAATAGGAATGAACAGGTTCGATGATGGAAGTCGTTCGGCGCGCCTTCTTTAATGGTGTGAGGTCGCGACGGACGGTTTTGTCCGGCGGATGCATCATGATGTCATTTTTATTGGCACAAATTTCCCCACCGTTCGCGAACCCCTCACGGGCCACAGCACCCACTGTTTCGCTCTTTCCACTTTTGACGTTCTTCTTGCCTTTCTCTCACAATGGAATGTCGACGGTCGCTGCCATTTTGCCATCATGTCGAGACTGCAATGCTAGAACACCACCAAAAACTTGTGTTCCTGATGATCGGCAGGAACCAAAATCTCTCATTGGATTTCTCCTTGTCCCATTCCTTCCTTTTCCTGTCCATCAACATTTGACTAGAGTCGTGCCCTGGAGCGCGGTTTAAGCACGTTCAGTCATCATTAACAGAGGCTGGTGCAAGTGGTGGGGGCGCACTAACAGAAATTGGTGCCGGTGCACGAAATTCTGTCGTGTTCTCGCGTCACAGTGCAACCTCAATCTCGCCCGGCTCCCGACGGCCGATCTCCAACGTCTTCCGGACTTCTTGTTCCCGGATCCGGGCCCGAAAAGGACTGACAAAGGACAGGACTCTGTGGGTCCCTATACCGAACCACCGCATCAGCCACACCAGTTGTGATTGTGCCTTTCATCTCATGTCGCTTTGTCCCTTTCATCTCATGTCGCTTTGTCCCTGACTGTTAACATGATTGGCCTTTTCTGCGGCTTGACCAGGGCGAGGTAAACCCAACTGCTAACAAGCTACAACAACAATCGCAACTTGGTTTGCTTGTTGTTATTGTGCGCTGAAAGTTCATGACGTATCTAGGGATGTAATGGTGAACGATGGCCTCAATCAAAGACTCAGGCCGGTGCGGGCGCCCACCTTCAACTCTTCTTCGCTACTTCAATCTAAAAGCATAGCTCAAAAATACTCCCGGAGTGATCATGAGTCTGGGAGATAGCATTATACAGCGTGCTCTCATCATGTATCATAAGCTGAGCACCGTCACAAAAGCGACAGTCGCCATTTCGATCGCCCTCATCCTGTACAGACTGTTGTTCCGACATGAGTCTACCAGACGCAAGGAGCTGCCAGCTTGGGGCCCCGTTGAGATGGCGCTGGTCATGTCCTTGCTGGATGGACCACGTAACGGTATCGTCTATCGTATCTTGTAAGTATGCCTAGTTTATGGTCTTTACATCCACTAACGTCGCATCTTCCAAGTTTCGCGCTTCGCCGATACGGTGGCTCGTTCTACGGCATCTCATCAGCAAATCAGACTCTCATTGGGTATGAAGACGTCGATCGCCTGTTCTCGTCGCAGATGAACCACGCCCTCAGCATAGAGTGGCATGGATATGGCCTCTTCCTCCGATTCTTCGGTTTTCCCGACACACCAGCCTTGAGGAAGAAGGTCGAAACCACGTTCAAACCATGGCACTCTCCAGTTGAAAGAGTCTTCAATAACGAGGCTGGTGCTGCTGCGGCCTTTGAGAGGGGCAATCTTCCCAAGATGGTGTCCAAATTCGTCAGTTTCAGCATGGAGAAGGAGAAGATGAAGAGATGGGAACTCCGTGCCGATACCAAGGTCATCAAACCCGAAGACAACAGCGGGGAAGAGGGAGCAGTCGAAGCTAATCTCTCAGCTCTGATCATGGACTTTGGGGCTTGCTTCACCATTCCACCCATATTCGGACACGACCTGCTGGATCGCAACCCGCATCTCCTGGAAGATATCTGGAAGTTCGATCATGTTGTTCCGCTGCTGTTCATCAACATGCCAACATGGGTTCCGTTGAAGGTCATGAAGGAGGGCATAGAAGCTCGGAAGCGGCTGCTGGACGGAGTCGAATCCTTCTCTCGACGGGTCACCCAGTTGCAGCTAGGAGAGAAGATTGACGACGGTGCTGACTTGTCGGACGTCAGCGATGTTGTCTTGGAGCGCAATACCGCTCTCAAACGGAATGAGTGGTCGTACAAAGAGCGTGCCGCCTCCGAGCTGTTGGTTCTCTTTGCCAGCAACACCAACACCCAACCAGTCCTATTTTGGTTGGTTCTGTACATCTACTCCACGCCAGGACTGGTAGACACACTCCGCGAGGAGGTTGCGCCCTTTGTCACTCTCACAAGCTCGGCCAACAGGAAAGACATCAATGCCATCGATACTTCAGGGTTGTCCCGCGAGTGTCAACTCCTCAAGTCTGTCATCCTCGAAACCCTCCGTCTTGCCTTTGGCGCAGTCTCAACTCGCTTCGTCAAAAGCCCCATCACCGTCCAAGATGGCAAGCACACGCACAAGCTCCATCCAGGAACCTTCCTGTCTGTTCCTCACTCTTTCTCCCAGCGGGACCCGTCCATGTACCCCGACCCAGACAAGTTCGTCCCCGATCGCTTCCTCGAGACGGATCCCTCGTCCGGCAAATTGGTTGCCAAGTACGGAAAGCTGAGGCCGTGGGGCGCCGGAGCGAGTATGTGTCGGGGACGACTGTTTGCTGAGAAGGAGCTGATGGCTATTGGCGCGGCGCTGGTGATGCTGTGGGATATCAGCCCTGCTGGTGGTGGTGAGTGGAAGATACCTGAGATGCTGGGTGGGCCGGGGCCGGTGAAGCCGAAAGAGGAGGTGAGGGTTGTCATCAGGCGGAGGGTGTTTGACGGTGTTCCTTTGGAGTAAACGTATCAGTATCTAGTGCCAAGAGGGCTCATGCCATCCTTCTCAGGTACACCTCCAATGTTGCTTTGGAAGGATTGCGGGGTACACACCATTAATCCATCACTCAGGTACCCCAATACGTTCTATGTTCTGCTATTCCCTTTAGACGTTTATCACATGGCAGTTTGGCGCCATTGCTTCCTTTACGTCGTTTATGCCAATGAAGACATCTTGTGGGCTGATGCTCGCTAGGTACGCTAGAGGAGTGTCTTTGTCGCAACCCGCAATGTAGAATGTAGATACAGCGAATGCCTTGAAAATGCCATCCCTGGAATTGAGCCTGGTTGGTGATGCACTTTTGTTTAGCCTTTGTGCCACGCTGATGGAGGGTGTGATGGGTTGGTGTGAGGAAAGGCATCAGGTCGGACCCAACAGTCGTTATGACATTCAGATAGCCGCAGAGCTGCGGGGCAACATTGGAGTCTTGATGCCTCTGTCGTTCTTTGAAGAAGAACACGGCGATGAAGTTCTCAAATAATTTTCCGTGCTGTTGTCGCATTTCATGATGGCGATTCTGTTAGTTCTCCTGTCTTGCAAGCCATTGAAGCGTCAGCTGGCTTCTATAGCCCTCGACTTTCATGATCTGTTGGCTGGGTGTTCAAGCAGATCCGAAACCGTTCAAGGCCTTCCGAAACAAAGATATGACCGCAGTTTGCTGAACAGACGAACAATATTGGACGCGCGATGATCTTCCCCAACAGATAATGAACCCAACATGGAGAGCCCCATCTCAGATGACCGAGCAGAACTCATTGTTGGGCGAGTCCTGATGATGTTGTTCTCGACCACCGGTCGCCAACTGAACATGACGACAATGAACCCAACATTGACAGTTCTCAGATGATCGAACAACGCTCATCTTCGGGCATTCAGGCTCATGATACGCAAGGATTCAAGAGTATAAGAGACTCGACCGACGCCATGGGATGATACGACTGAATAGCATCAGCAACCGCCACCACTTCTTTCCATACATTGAAGCAGGCCTTCGATCAAGAACCGCATCATCAACCACCAACACTCACTTCACGTACGTTGAAGCAGGACATCGACCAAGACCACTCAGGCAGTCGGTCAAACCTTTCCAGTCCCATCCCACAAGAACCGTCCAAAGCCAAAGCCAAAGCCTAGGTATCCACGTCAAAGCAGCGTCTGGTTGTCCCAGCGTCAAATCACTGCACGAAGAGGAACATATCTAGGCCGCTGCTGTGAATACACATCCCCTAAGGTACATCCATCAACCACCACAAAGCTCCGATACTTCAGGAGAGGTTACCTAGGCATAAGCAACAATGTGCTATCAGGTGGTCAAAGTTTACTCGGTGTGCAAGTGCGTCTACCGCGAGCATGCCGTTGATCGATGCGCGGCATATGGGACACCTGGCCATCGTCCTAAGAGGAGGGAGGTGTTGGTTGGAGACTCATGCGACCTTCACTCGAGCCGCAGCGGATATTCCTACAAATAGGTAGAGCCGGGTCTCTGCCATACTGCCCGTGCCCGCTCTTAGTCAACAACAGTGTTGATCGGTGAGACCGGGGGGCATTTTCTTGGTTATTGGGTGGGGCCTAGGATCAGGAGTCTTCGGATGGAGTCATGGAGAAGACCTGGTGTACTACCGAGGGGGTATTGAAAGATGGAAGGCGTATTGGATGGTGGAACTGGCTTCAGCTGGATTGGCCTTGTTGGTATTGACGATGAACTGATGGAAGACAAGGTGTGTTATGGTGGCTTTGGATAGCTGGATGAGAACGCAGTAAAGGATGGAATGGGACAGGCTTTACCTCTGTTTGCGATCGGGCAGAGATGATAGAAATACCTAGGCTGCTGGCAGCCGCGAACAACAATGATAGCTTGTCTCTCATCTTCGTGAAGCCCACTGATCCAACTGGAGGTTGTAGCTTTAATCTCCACTTTGACGGTCTGCGGGAATCGTCAATGAAGAGGCCCCCCCAAGTGCACCATCCTTGTCTTTACACGTACTCAAAAATCACCCGAAGGCGGGTATAAAGACACTCGATGATACTCCCCCGTCTGACGGTGCTCTTGGAAAAAAAGAGTAACTCATGAATAAATGATAAACTTAACCTCCTGTCACCTTAACCTCCTGGTAAGTCCAAAGAATAATGACCGGTTCTTTTCTCGTACGTTGTTGCTTGCTTTGGGGCGCAGAGATATCCCGAGTAGTTAAGGTTGAGAAAGAAGATATGCCAGCAAGAATGTCAGGAGAGGAAAACTGATTATACATTGCGTGATCTTGAGCAAGGGACAGAAGGAGGGTTTGTTCTGATTTCGGTGATATTGGGCGGGCGTGTATGTGCCTGACAAAGTGTACCTGATGTGTTGAGCACGCGCTTCACCTCGTGATAATAAGCATTGCCGATGTCTTGGAACCTCAGGGTCCCGTGTAGTTGAAAAGCCGTGGTGCGCCTAGCGGCTCTCAAGTCTGATGCCGATAAAACCAACCTTGTATTGACGTTCAGCGGCTCAACCTACTACTACCCATCAACCCACCTGATCTCTATGCTTTTTCCAAGGTCGTCGCTGGATGCAGCAGGTAACGGCAATCTTCATGGGGACTGTACACCGCCCACTTTGCAATTTTTGGAATTCGCAAAAGGGTCCGTCTTCATCTCCCCTTTCTCTGTTCCTTCCAAATCCCTACCCCTTTTGTCATGCGCTTCAGCAGCAGCTATGTACCATGCCATTGCAACCATAGCACCAACAAACATTTTTGCAGTCTGAGCAAACTAATGAAAGAAGTAACCTAACTAATGACAAGCAAACACAGTACGCGGAGCACGCAGAATGTGATTGACCAACGTCGGTAGTAGCAGTGATCCGTTGGGATTTTGCATGGTCTGGATTGCAGAAGCAGAAGGAATGGCAGGGACCGAGCAGCTTGCCGTTGCTCTCGGGCGAAGTTGATAAAATACGAGGTTCCCCCCAAGTGTTGAATGGGATGGAAGTTGCGGTGCAGTTGGTCTCGTCTCGGTGCAGTTGGTCTCGTCTCGAGGTGAAGTTGAGAATTTGAGGCAGGAGCAATGGGTGGTCGCCATCTCGCATCGTCGGCTGTTGGCTCCAAAGACACTCAGCGAGATGGAAGGAACTGAAAGCATATGACCCTCAAGGTTCGCACTTGGTCTGGCCAATTGAGGATTTGAGGTACGACGGGAGTCCAGGTGTTTTTCCCGACTTTTCGCTTCTCGCATCCTGAGCCAACGAACTGACTGGAACTTCACCTAAAATCTTTTCGGTCGCCGACGTTGAAGTAAACGAGCCCAGATAAGAACTTTGCATATGTCTACAAGCATCCAAGCGACCAAGCCACCCGAAAAAGGCCCACCGCGAATTAGCCTGTAGGTCTAGGGTCCAGGTACAGGTGTCACCTTGGCCTCCACTATAAGCCCTAGCAATGCCAACTCCGAGAGGATTCAGGAACAAAAGGGACGGTCCGAGAACCGGGTGGATTCCAATGTGTAAAATACGATAATTCGACGTTTCACACAGGACGAGACCGTACATAATTCGGGTGATGGTGGTGCCGAGGAATGAGCGTTGAGAAGCACCGCCGAGGCAGGATTTTGTTTCCCGTCGGGTATCATCGAAACACTTCCAGGCTGCTAATTGACAGCACGGCACAACGGCACAGAACCGGTTCACAGTAGCCATTTGCAGCAGCAATGCCAGGGGAAGAGCTCCAGTAGGGCTGTGTCAAACGTCTAGCGCCGCATTCGGCTCGTCGTTAGAGTTCCCTCAGCGTCACCCTGACCGTCCATCGCGGCTGACAATGCATGATTCCAATCTTGCCCTTATAGGAAGGATTTGAGCTAAGCCGCCAATCAGGTCGAATTAATTGGTGTGTCGCAACATTCTGTGCAGCCTTGGGGACCAACCAACGCCTTGGCGAGAGCGGATGGTGGCATGTGCCGCTCCACTGTTTTGAAGTCACACTGGCTGCTGCCTTGCAACGCAGGGATGGGGAAAAAACAATGCTTGGGTAAAGTTTTGTTGAAACGTGAGGCGGGAGGGAAAATGGAAGTGATGGGCTGTGTGGCCACAAAAGGAGCGTCATTGGCAATTGCGCCTGGCCCGTTGACCAGCATCTGATCTCCTCGCAAATATCCGACGATGGTATCGACCTGTCAGCTTCATTAACGGAACCAAAAGAACCCGGGGACCGCCATCTGTCAAAAACCGTTGGATAAACCTTGGGTGGCTTGCATTCTACATACCTTCCATCAAACTTCCATTCCAGTCGTCGACTTATACTTCCATTGGGTTTGTGTGCCGTACCACCCCACGGTCATCCCGGTCGTTCTTTGTCAGATTGCTCAAACTTTCACCCCTCCCTTCCTTCTTTGTCGGTCATTGTTTGCGCCTCAGCTTGACGAGGGGATTTTTGTGGTCCAACCTCGGGGCGAACCGCTTTATTGTTGGCCGTGGCTTGTCATCCCATCGACATCACATTGGTATCACCTTCCTCCCGCACTTGACGCACCTTTCTCCCAACGAACCACATGAAATACACCTTCGTCTCACAACCACCGAACCCTTCAGTGGATGGCCAAACTCGGCGGCCGCCTGATTCCAAACTCCAAGATGCTCGTCACCATGCCGAGTCAGCGCAAGCTGTTCACCATCATCCTTGGCGTGTGCGCCTTCAGTCTCATCCTGCTGGTCGTCCACTCGCCCGCCACCCTCAACAAGCTACCCGTTCCTCACGCGCTCAAGCCCTCCCACGATGACAAGGCACCAGAAAATGAGCCCAAACCGATATACAAGTCGCCCCCAAAGTTCAAACCGCCTCCGATCAAGGACAACTTCCCCCTCCTCTCGTCAGAAGGCAAGAACAAAACGCCCCCGATCCCCTCCTGGAACGTGGCCCCCAAGGACCTCTGGACGCAATACAACCTGCCCATCGCGCCCCCCTTGCTCATCGGCTTCACGCGCTCCTGGCCCATGCTGCAGCAGACGGTAGTCAGCTACATTACAGCCGGCTGGCCCGCCTCTCAGATCTTCGTCGTCGAGAACACGGGCACTCAGCAAGCCAACGCACGCGGGCAGCTGTCCCTCCAAAACCCCTTCTACCTCAACCACACGGTCCTGAAGGACATCTTGGGGGTGAACGTCATCCAGACGCCCACGCTCCTCAACTTTGCGCAGCTCCAGAACTTCTTCCTCGCTCAGAGCTACGAGCACCAATGGCCTTACTACTTCTGGTCGCACATGGACGTGCTCGCCTTCGCGCACGAGGACGGAAACGAAAAGAACAACGCCAAGTGGAACGAGGAAGGATACAAGTCGCTTTATGCCATGGCACTGACTGTGCTTAAAGACGCCCGGGACAACGATCCGAGATGGGGCATCCGCTTCTTCGCGTACGATCATCTGGCACTCGTCAACCGGGAGGCGTACGAGGATGTGGGAGGGTGGGATACGCTGATCCCGTACTATATCACCGACTGCGACATGCACTCTCGCCTGACGATGCGCGACTGGACCATGAAGGACGCGAGATGGATCGGCCAGATTTGGGACGTCAGTGTCGTGCTGGATGATCTGAGTGTTTTGTACAGGGTGGATGGTCTGACGCCGTCCTTTACTGATCCGAATCCGCCGCCGCCTGCTGCCAAGAAGGGCTGGTGGAAGAAAGACGGAGAGGAGGAAGAGGTGAAGAAGAAGCAGAAGAGGCAGGAGGTTGTTGCTCCTAGGGGCAGCAGGGGCGTGAAGGAGGCCTTGATGATCAAGCGGGAGGATGAGAAGCAGTCCCAGGAGCAGATGAAGGAGGGGGAGCACAAGGAGGGGGAGCACAAGATGGGTGAGCTAGAGAAGTGGAAAGCGCTCATGGCGACTGCCGACAAAATGTTCCACTACAAGCATGACAGCGAGCGCGGCCGCAACACATGGCAGCTGGGCCAGCAGGGTGGACAGGGAGAGCCGTTCTACTATCCCGCAGAAGGAATAGCGAGGGGCATCGAGCTCCTCACCGAGACCGGCAAGGTAATTTATAGCGAGAAATGGGGCCACAAGGACTGTGCACTGATCACGAAAGCCCGCCTGAAATTCGATGATCAGTGGATGGTGAAGAAGGACTGGGGACCGTTTAGCAAATAAGCGCTGGGTAGAGGTCTGTAACAGGATAGCTTATATAGAGTTTTGTAATTTGTCATGATTGGGAGGGAGAATACCCTTGGAAAATAGTATGTAATTTCAGATCAGGAACAAAACAACCGACGGAGGAAGCAAGTGAACATGAAGCGAGGCGGGAGAATGTACTAGGTTGGCACAAAGCAACTAACTTTCTTTCCACTACCTACGTACCGTGCCGGGTATCTATCTATCACTGACTACCCTCCATCCCTCATGGCTCATCGCGATGCTGCCGCCGCCGCCGCCAGGGCACCTTCGATCACCATATGATAGAGCTCAGCAATGCTGATACCCGCGGCTCTCGCCTGCTGCGGCACCATACTCTCCGGCGTCTGGCCCGGTATCGTGTTGACCTCGAGGAAGTACAGCTGCTTCTTGTCGGTGTCATACCGATAATCGAAGCGTACTACGCCGCGACAATCCAGCAGATCGTACAGCTGCGCCGACACATCCTTGATGCGATCGCTAACCTCCTCCTCCACTTCCGCAGGCGTCACCTTGCTCGACGACCCGTTGTACTTGGCGTTGTAGTCAAAGTACTCGCTATCACCGTGGGGGATCACCTCAGTGATAGGGAACACATGCAACTTCCCCGCCGCATCGCGAATCACGCCGCAGTCGAACTCCCGACCGGCAATGAACTCCTCCACCAACACTTGCCCGTTGCCGTCTTCGCGCATGGCGTCTTCCACCGCTTGGACTACCTGCTCGCGGCTCTTGACTTTGGTGGTGGCCACGCTGCTTCCGCCCGACGCGGGCTTGACAAAGACGGGCAGCTCGAATTCCCGCAAGAGGGCGTCGGCGTCAAAACTGCTGACTTGGGTGCGGTGAAGCAGCCGGGACTTGGCCACCGCCACGACCCCAAAGCTGCGCACTACGGGATTACAATGTCCCTTATTGGCTGTCAACGAGGAGGCGTAGAACCCGCAAGAAGTGTAGGGGAGGCCGAGCATATCGAAGTAGCCTTGCAAAACGCCGTTTTCGCCGGGATTGCCGTGGATGGAGATGTAGGCTAGGTCGAACTTGATTTTTTGATTGTTTTCGCCAGAACCAGAAGAGGAGGGGAGGGTGACGCTGAAGTCATTCCTGTCCACGGGGATTTCTTGGCTAGAGTCGGTCAAGTGGTACCACGCCGCCTTGGGGTCGCGGGGGATGACGATCTTATAGAGATTGTATCTGGACCGGTCGACGTTGGTGTAGATGGCCGCGCCGGTGCTGATGGATACGTCATACTCGCCTGAGTAGCCGCCTACTACTACTGCGATGTTCTTCTTGCTGCTGGTGGTGTCCGCCATTTTGTCTTTGAGGTTTCGTGTCGTCGATGGAAGAATGGGCTTGGGATATGGTTATGTACGACGACTCGATGTTGAAGGTTTCGAGGGTCTTTCTTATGCCTTTATGTGCTTCCTTTCGGCCCCCCGGGCCCCGGCAATACGGAAGTCATCCTGCCTGCCATGGTAGTTGTCTGTTGAGCTGGCGGCGGAGGCGCGTCGGCGCGACTCGTGAGAGCATCCACTCTGTTCGTCGATCATTCCCGGTATCGGTGCTGGGACGTCCACGTTAGCATTCTGGTGGAATGGAGTATGGGGTTGGGGACGTAACGACGAGTTGTCAAAAAACGATTCCATCGTGGTTTTGGCATGGTGGTCGTTGGGCTTGGGGGAAATGGTGCTCGACGTCTAAACTCAGTTGTTGACTTTTGTCCAAACAAAAGGTTGGATGGGATAAGATGCGCTTCCATCTTCACTCCAGCCATTTTGGCGGTGTCTCTGATAGTGGGGTATCGCGGGGTACGGGGCTCTAGGTATTGGAGATCTTCGGTTGGGGATTGAGGCGACACGCGTGGGCGGCGTCGCGCCTGGCAAAACTGGTTGGTTACCGGTATACCATTCCAGCTGCGAACGGGTATAAAATATGATGTAAAGTATTGAATCCGAGCCGAAAAGATTACACATAATTTTGGCACCGTATGAGAGCACCAATCTTGTTTGCGATGCCTGAATGGATCACTTTGAATGCTCTACTTGTAGTACAAGTCGGAGCGGAAAGGGAAAGCGCCGCGTGCTACCTAGCTGGTGGACCTGCACCCAATACCCATGTCCAGTTCGGCGCACCAGCCATACCTGAGGTTATAACACTATTGTTAGTTCACTGTGTTCTGCAGTGTCGATGTTAAAGAGGCAACGTGCCAGTCAATCCTACCTCACAACAAGTCTCTCGGCTTGTTTCCATTCAATTTCCAGTGGTCGGGTTTCTCTCGCCACCAGCACAAGTTCATTTAGCCATTCAACTACCTACGTCCCTACTATCACGGTGTCTCCTACGACTTGTTCTCACTCCATCGCTGTAACACATTCTCTGGATGATATACCCATCGCAATTCATGGCTTTGGTGTCATCGGTCTACCGTCTCCTACGGAAGCCAAGCCATTTCTGCGACGGCCAGAGTCCATGAAGCAGTGAGGTGAACTACAGTTATGACACTATCTGGTACTTGGCAAAATCTATCCCACTCCAGATAGAGTCCGATCTTAGTGGGTAACCTGCCCCTTTGAGCTCCCCCTCCACTCGTCAAGACTCAACAAGGCGAAATGACAACTCCTCCTTCGGCCGGCATCAAATGCTCCTACCCTTATTGGTTAAAGGTGTCGTCAAATAGGACCCTGCATGAAATTGCCGCTCAAGTGTGCGCCCTACACGATGGTCACCAGTTCTGCCTACGGGCTGTGCCATTGCGAAGCCTTACTAGAATTTGAATGGCGGTAGGGGAACGCCACTCATCACAGCCTGCAGGAGTGCGAGTATGTATTGATCTTTTGAGCGGTGTAAACCAGAGCTTGGATGCCTCTCTTGTACCTCATAAGGTAGGTATACTTATTCTGCGAGCCTTGTCCCGCTGTCACTGCACCCGTTTGATCCAGCTTTCTTCCAAGTTTCTTCTGCTAATCGACGTGTAGTACTGCTCAAAGGTCCAAACCAAACACCAACCTGAGATTCGATGACTACCAGGACAACACCATCAAGATAACGATATCAAGTGTCTGAACAGAAGATGGAAGAGGCTGGGAGGTCTATCACGGGATGGCATTCGTAAGATTGCTGGCTGGCTTCTACGAGACAGAAGCATTCCACGTTTTCCCAGACAGGAGATCCCGTAACGAACCCCGTCAAAATCGAGCACCCCGTCAACATCGAAGACCCCGTCAAGGCCCAGGATTCTAGCACGACGTGCATCGGAAAGTATCTCTGCGAAACATGTTTGTCCTTCCAGATCGACTTCGTGGCCTTATGGACAGAAAAGAACATCGATTCCACATTTGACCATTATGATCTCGGTACTCTGGAATCTATCTTGGAAAGATCCCCAAACTGCGGGCTATGTCGGCTTGCCGTCCGGTGCTTTGATCTGCAAGGTCCCAACGGCCCTCATAAGCACCCGGGAGGCAAGGACAGGACTATTACTCTCTACTGCAAAGGCATAGGGGATGGAGAAGGGCGGTATGATCTTTCTGACCAGTTCGAGGTTCGCGACCGTTGGCCTGTCTTCAGCATGGAGATGGATCACACTCCGAGTCAGCCCGGATCTACGGACGAATACTTCTCCAACTGCCGTATTCTTCCATGTGGAGAGGATCTCTTCCCTACACTATCTCTTGACCCCCGCCCAAATTTCACAACATTCTGTGGTCGATCGCCTGCTCCGACGGACACACAATTCCCGGTCATCAAAGGTTGGCTGAACGAGTGCGTTGAACATCACGGTTCGACATGCAGTCGCCCTATGCTATTTCCGGAGTTTCAAAAACGATCATCTCTTTCATTTGCTAGGATGATTGACCTGCAGGATTGGTGTCTAGTTGATATATCTCCCACGTCACTTCGGTTTTTTGCTATGAGCTATGCATGGGGTCGTGCAGTCCCTTATCGAACTTTCACAGCAAATCTTCACCCTTCCTATCACCCAGGACATTTTCGCCAGGTTTTCACAATCCTTCCCGCTACTGTCCGTGATACGATGACCCTACTTGTTGCTCTTGGGGAGCGGTACTTATGGTGCGACAGCCTGTGCATCCTCCAGGATAGTTACGAGGACTGGTCATACTGGGCAGCGCATATGAACGAGATCTACCAATTTGCCTTTGCATTTGCTATTGCGCGAAGTGGTGCACACTGCAACGCCGGGCTATTTGACGCTGGTCACCCATGGCATACGGAAGAGCGGGTTGCTGATAACTTAAGCCTTATCAGTGTCCCTATCGTGTCGCAAGAGAAAAAGCACGGGATGGCATTCTTGGAGACTCGAGGGTAGACTCTCCAAGAACAGCTGTTTGCTAGTCGGATGCTCGTTTTCACCAACGGCCTTGTTTCGTTCCAGTGTCATAAGTCTATTCGGCGTCAAGACGTTGCGATTGAAGCTCTTGCCTACCCTACAAGCAACAGTATTGTACACGACCTCCTCAAAGCTGATTGGGGATTTGACTATCGCGTGTCTTCCGGTGTCGACTTCGGTACCCGGACTTCTAACATGTTTTACGACGACTGTCTCACCACGTTCTCCCAACGCCAACTGACGTTCGAGAGTGACCGACTCCCGGCATTTTTGGGTATTGCAAACCTCATCGCAGCACAAATCGGCACAGAGCTCTTTATGGGATTTCCTATCGCGATATTTAACCTTACCATACTCTGGCGGACTTATGACGAGAATTCTACGATCTTATCCGACTCACACCGTGAGGGGAAACGCCTAGTTCCCACTTGGTGCTGGGCTCATGGACAAGGGAAAAAGACGACGCTTAACGTGGGAGACGACGATGATACGAAAAGCACCTGGGCTATTTCTACCTACGAAAAGGAGTTCTTTTTTCCATACGTGGATTGTTTGGTACTATGAGGATCACAAGGACGGCGTGGCATTCTTACAACCCCTAAAAGAGCTAGATACCAAGTCTCACGGCGAAGTGAAGGGCACACAGAAGCCTCTGCACCCCAGTTATCGAGACTCTGAGGTGACTCTTTTCGGTCTCCTTGGCTCGGAATCACACCTGAGCCCGCGAGTCCCCCATGATACACCCCCAGCACGCAGTACCTTTCGCCGATACTGCGGGAATTCAATCCACGTCGCCTCATTGGCGGACCAGTATCCGAAACCTCTGCCTAACCCGGCCGGATATGGCGCACTCCATTTCTATACCCTTTGTGAGAGTTTCGAGTTCGTCCTGTGTCAGGCTCGTTGTCGGAGGACCGGCCTGGGGGAACAAGCAATGCGCCTGTTTGCTTTCCGGGACAAGCACGGTATCCCTTGCGGAGTCTTTGACATGGAATTGGGAGCCGGCCGCCATTTTCCGCCTCACCTGCTCGGCAAGCAGGATGTCATTGCGATATCGGAGGATCGGTTGAACAGAAGTCGACTTGACTACTGGGTTGGAGAGAGGACATATCTCGACAACCTCAGACGGAAGACAGAGATCGAACCCTCGCCTTCCGGGAGATCATGGCCGCTACTTACGATCATGGTTGTCGAATGGAAGGACGGTATCGCTTACAGAAAAGCACCTTACATCGGAAGGATCTGCCAAGTGGCATTCGAGGCTTGCTTAGAGCCTGCCGAGTGGAAGCATGTTGTTCTGTACTGAATACCGGTGAGCTGTTGTGGAAGGTACATTTGTCGGAGCTTCCCGTCAACTGCGCGAGCAGGAAGCTACTGTGATAGAAACCATGTGGAGACATACATGTCGCTCCCTGGAGTGGAAACTTCGGTCATCAGAGTCGTAATCCACTAAGAGGGAGTGCATGTAACTTGTTCGTCGTGAGTATAGCTAAGGTACCAACACGTTATGACGCTACTGGATATTGGTATCGCACAAACCCGACTAGTGTTCGTATCATCTTATTCTTCCCAGCAAACCTCGGGACGCGAGGCATCCGATAGCTGTACTCTCAGGATATTAAAAGCCCGGGACGAGTGGAAAGACTTGTTGATACATCCGGTAGGTAAGACTCTCCATACCTAGCCTACCTACACATAATTGCTGACTTCTTGCCGTTCACAGAGTCACTGACTCAACGCACTCACCGCCGGCAACGAGTACACCATCATCGTCCACCGGCACCAGTTCCTCCAAGTGACCTCATCATCGACCTTATTCCTCCTTGCCAGCAGCCTCCACGCGATATATCCAGCAAACCCAACAAACGGCGCGGCGTACCACACCGGCGTCTTCCAAAACACGACTCCCACGACCGCCCACGTTAGGGCCGTCGCCGCCAACTGATACCGCGACGCCGTCTCGCCGATCAACAGTGGAATAGTCGTGCGATTTCCTCTCGCCCGATCACCATCTTGGTCCTTCAAGTCCTGGATAGAAATCATAGTGGCAATCAGCGCGCTAACGATCGCCGTCCACGCATATCCGCGAGCGCTGATGACATCCGCCATGCTAACGTTGATTCCCGCTTCTCTCTGGGCATGCTGTCCCAGTCCGAGCGCAATTCGTAGTGATCCGACGTGGTAGATGCCATACGAGATCCCGAGCAAGATGTCGCGAAAGACGGGCTCGTCGGCACAGCCGAGGTCGTTGTAGACGAAGATGACGATGAGGACGAGCAGACCCTCGTGCCAGACGCCCAGGGCGTAGTTGAGGGCCATGGCGATGGGGACCAAGCAGAGGAATAAGCGGCGGGTTTGGTCGGACGTGATTTTACCGGAGGGAATCGGACGCCACGGCTTGTTGATGAGGTCCTCGGCTACGGCGATGGGGTGGCGCTGGTTGGCGAGGTCGAAGAGGAGGAGGCTGTAGAGCTGGAAGAGACAGATGGCGGGAAGTCGGGAGAGGACTTGGCCTAGGGAGGGGGTGCTAGGGGTGGTTGTGGCTTCTTTGGCGAGGGAGAGCGCAACACCGAAGATGGTGCACGGGAGAGAAAAGGTGAAGATGTCGTTCTTGGAGAATTCCCAGAGGAGGTAGATCACGGTGGATATGTTCCCCATGACACTTCCGGCGGGGAGAAGGGGTCGTTGAAGAGTCAGGGACTTGGAGGAATTCTCGTCGTCATCGTCGCACTTGAGCTTGGGGTTTGAAGGGCTCCGGTCCCATGATCCCGTGCCAAACATGGACCAGAGACGTCCTAGAGCCGGAACTCGTTTGTTGTGAAGAGTCGTAGACATAGTTGACTAATGCTGTTGCGGATTGTCACTCAGTGCGGTTCCTACGATAGTTGTTGCCATGAGCAAAGAAAAAGGTTCGAAACACTCTATTTATGCGAGAACAGAAAGCGAACCCTAACTCTATCACCTGTTCTTCGTCCTTATCGACTTGGTGATATAGATGAAACTATTCGCACCGTCATAAAAGCCTTGAAGCACCAACAACCTACCGAATTTAGCCAACCATCTCACACCCATGCTCGGAAGTAGGAACCCCCGTAGTTGTTGCTCGTACGACAACAGTCGCAGCGACAGCAACTGTCTCACGGTAGCGAGCGAGATAGTGCTTTGTTGGTTCGTTTGTTTGTTCAGATTGTCTTGGCTCCCATTCCAAGAGGAGTGAGAGGTTGATGAAGTTGATGAAAGACGAATTTCCCCTTGTCCTTGTACAGCGCTTCGCATCCTGGAAGCAATTGAAAGTTTGCTTGCTTGGCCCCACTCGGAGACCGTACGATACTTCCTTGGTTGTAATAAGTGGATTTTTTTATTTCATACATCAAGGGCCCCTGTATCGCGCGTTCGATGTCGTAGCTGTTGGTGGTTGGAGCTTGCAGGGAGGGTACGGTGGCCCAAATCGGATTTCGTAGCATATTAGGGTTGAACTCTTATTTCAGTTGTACGCACCTGGCTTACAACGTGAATCATACACTACCTATAAATATAAACCTATCCTACTTCGTCAATTATATTATTTTTCCGTACATTTGCATTAACTTTATTCTTTTTGCAAATAGTATTATGAAATATTATGTACTTTTACTATAGAAGATTTACTATCTGTCACAATGGTGGCAGACTATTATACTAACCAGACCATGTTCGTATAAAAGGATACAAATAACCGAAGCTGGCAGTTTGGTTGCTCAAGTGGTCTTATATAGTTTGTCCCAGAAGAGGCACCCGAGTCCATTCCATGATACTATCTATATCCAAGCGCTAATTACTATATTAAATTTTTAGTACGCTAATAAACCCTTACCTTTGGCGCCTACGGCTTGCGACGGCCTGGTTATCCATCGCAACTATATAAGACTACTTGAGCGACTAAACTGCCAGCTTTGATTACTTGTTGTGACAGCTGGCACTATCTAAGCTGTTACATACCTGCTATCAAGGCTTCCATTCATATAGGTACTGTTCAATTGAGGCATCACATTTACGGGTTTGGCTGTTACTGGTTGTCGCCTATGGTCTGGGTATAAAACTCAGCTCTAGTATCGAGCGTTTCCTTTTGGGATTTCTTCCCTCTTCAGCTTCTTATTCTTAGTCCAAGATAATCAAACATACATAACGTGCCCTCTGATTACGCCGTGACACTTGTATTCTTTGACAAAGACATGTTCAAGTTGGTGTAGTAGTCTGCCACCGCTGTGACACAGCTTAGTCTGCTACTTTTAGCTGTAAATTAATGATTATATAAATTATTACGCGAATTTAAAATTCTGATTGCAAATTAGTTAAATACCTACTTAATTCTAAAACACTAAGCTTTAAATAAAGTGTAGTATTATAATAGGCTAGGGTGCACATGCTCAAACGGCCAAACCTACAAAAAAAAAGAATGATGTTCTGCTTGTAAGGCAGAACTTGGAATGTATACTATATAGCCAATGTCAAACTGTGACAATTATATATAACTAAATATTATTTGATGTAATTAGTTTTAATAATATACTAAGCGTTTCTAGCTTGTTACTTTCAAAACGTTAATTTTAAAATAGAACTTATTAAATTTAAATTTCTTTTTCTTTATAAATTAGTATTATTAATACCTATAGGAACTTTCGCTACATCATCCACATTTATACTATATGTCATGGGGCTGGCGCCTAGGGGTGTTTGCCTGGCTTGAACTCTATGAAAGCCAGGCCTGCCCTCTGACTGGGTGCACTCCTGAGGTATGCCGCACGAACCACATTTTCGACCTTGGCGTTTCTAGCACCTTCGATATACGCACCTCTCTTGTGTATTTAGCTGTAAGCTCCATGCCATACTGGCACAGACTTCCCTTTTCCTCTTTGTCGAATATTATCACTTTCACTAAGGCCTACCTGTGTGTATACCTCATAGAACCCTTACACTATACAAGTGAAATAGTATAAATATATTAGATAGGGGCGTAGGCGCAATCGTAAGCGTAAGCTTGGGAAGTATAATAATATTTTCATCACGCTTACATTAAATCTTAGTTAGCTTTATTTTCTTTGGATTATATATTTATAAGGGTATTCAATAGTGATAGTAGCGGAAAAGAAGAAACTACCTAATATATTATATAAAAAACAATTAATTGCTAGTGTCACAAGTATTACTGCCCTATTCCTATATATAGGTACACATGCACATATACTACAGTAGTGTAGCCAGCTGAGTGCAGCTGTCTGGCTGCAGTACATTCAGCAGTCTGAGCACAGACTGCTGTCATGGCTCTGGATACCCTACAGAGTTCTCGTGCGCACACAAGATTCTCTTCCTGTTTTTCGCACAACAATCCAAGTCTTAGTTTAGTGCTTGCTCGCGACCTATAACAGCTAAACCGAATTTAGTTTGACCCGCCCGGAGCGTGACCCTAGTACCCGCAACTACCAAAATCCACTTTTATAAATGTTACGAAATTTGCTTTGGGCCACCGTAGGGGGGGCGGGATCGGGCCGGGCCGGGGGCTTGCAATGTTTGTACACTAGAACTGCAGGACCTGCCTGAGATGTGGAGATATTCTAGACCTGTCAGCCAAGTCTTCCCAAGATATAAGCTACCTCTACTGTAGCAGATGCACTCCTTTGTCCAGTCATTCATGCTCGCTGACAGACCGACTCGCAGAACCGGATGAGAGGACTGTAACGTAGGCTTCCATCCTATACCCCTATTATCTTGCTGGAACCCAGACCTGGTCAAAGCTAGTTTAGTTCATTTTAAACTGGAACCGCCCCAGCGTGCCTTATCCAGATGGAAGTTACTTGGTGCCACGACTGTACGGGGTTTGGTGCGAGAACATCAGAAACCACGTACATTAGTTTATCTTCAGCATCACTCAAGGACGCAACGAAACGAATGAGCACGGTTCCGGAAGACGTTCTAGCAGTAGTACATAACAAGTATCAAAATATCGAGGACAAAGGAAACAAGGTTAACCTACCTGCTTTGACGATGTCTGTACCTCCGGCCACTCCATGCTCCCCTAGGTGTACGCATCCTCCCCATCGTCATTATGATAAACCGCAGGCCGCGGCATCTCAGAGTACCGCTCATAGTTCCCTCCTGTTTGTGCCTGCATTCCATATTCCTCGCGGTTTGGTGATGGTTTCAAGCCGGAACCATGAGCAGAAGCGGTGCTCGGGCCCGGAGAACGGGAGGGCAATGTGACTTGGCCCATGTGCTCGGCGCTGTGATGCCGGTATGCATCATGGAAGCGGGGCTGGCTTTGATGGCCAACAGGGTGATGAGCGCCACCCGAGTCATACTCCTCGTAACTGCCTTGGCCTCGCTGGCTACTCCTCCCCCGGTATGCGTGGTAGTTGTTACCCTCTGCCTGAACCGGAACGCCGGGCTGGTAGGAGTCCACCGTAGGCCCGGTGCCGTAGCCTCCATAACCGCCAGCGGCGCCCCCTGATATGTGAGTTGGATGAGGTGCAGGAATGTTTCGGGCTGGAAAGTTTCCAGATGCAACGCCGGGTTGGAACTCATCGTGTCGGAGTGAACTCATCTTGGCCCATTTGGCATCAGTAAAGCCCCTTGCTTGCGTGATGTAGTGGTCAAAATCCTGTGTGGCTTTCTCAACCTTCATGAATTGAGTCTCGTCAAGCACGGGTACTGTCGCATTGCCCTTGGACCCATCCGAGCCATCACCTCTGCTTTGAAGCTCAGAATCTTGTGCTCGTGCGGTGTAATGAGCCATCGAGGCTGCAATCTGGAACGCGTTCTTGATTTGCCTACCGTTCCATCTTTCCCCGCCGGGAAGACCATGATCATAATGTCGCTCAGCAAACCTCAAGATGCTATCCTCAATAATTGTCAAGGGCGGTGTATCAACCACTAGTTGCCTTTGCCTTTCGATCGCCTTGAGCTTGGCAATATTGGCCTTGAAGATGGCGATGGTTTGTGCGCGGCCAAGAGGAGGGTAGTAAAGCATCATGTGTAATCGAGATTTGAACGCTTCATCAATGCTTCCGACACGGTTGGTCGTCAAGAACAAGATGCCATGGTAGTACTCCAAAACACGCAGAAAGACTAACAGGTTCCTCGAGCAATTAGTACTTGCAGAATGCCAGGGTGCCTATCCACATCTGTCAAAGGTTTGTTCACTTACCTGAGACAAGAGCGTTTCTTTTAAGTTCGGTCCTAGACCTTTCGGCCAAAAAGACATCCGCCTCATCAAACAACAGGACACAGTCCCACCGATTAGCGAGGTGAAAGAGGCTCTCCAGCGTTTCTTCAAGCTCAGATGGGTTGGTGCCAAGGTCACCATAGGTAACGGTAAACAAGGGCTTCTGGTTTTCTTTTGCAACCGCTTCCGCTGTTGCGGTCTTGCCCACTCCAGGGACACCATGTAAGAGGATGACAAGACCCTTCCCTTTTCCCTGTATAATGTCTTGGTCGATGGAGCCTTCAGATCTGTCACCGAGCAGTCGTTCGATCTTTTTCTTCTCAAAATGGGAACTGACAAGACTGCGTACCATTTCCTTGTACTCTTTGGGGATTTTGAGAGATTCGAAGACACCGTTCTGATGTATAATCGGTTGAAGCTTGTGCAAATCCAACATGAAAAACCCCTTTTCCTTGAAAGCGTAGCCGCAGACTCGTGTGGGGGTGAGCACAAGATCAGCCTCCTTCAAAACTGCTCTTCTTTTGGTCAGAGGCCCGAATCTGTTGCCCAAATCCTCCAACATCTCAAAACGATGATCGTAAGCGTGTACGTTCACGTCTTCATCCGCGTGCCACCTATTGGCCGAGGTGCTGTCAATCCATTGGTCCGCTTCAAGAAAGGCCACTGGATCATCGACTTGAACACGGTCCCTGACAATATGCAGAATACTTTTTCTCTCCACACTGTCCCACACACGGATGGGTAAGAAGTCATCCGTTATTTGCCAGTATCTGTAGGTGTTAAGGTTGCTGAGTGCAATAGACCTGGGACGTAGCCGAGGAGTGTTCATGTACGTTTCCTCGAAGTCGACTACCACTTCGCTTTCGATCAGCTTACCTGAAAGGCTAGCTGAACGCTTGAACGGGATATACTTTTCGGGTGAGTAATGAACTCTTATGCTTTCGCGATCGTAATCGTAGGTACCATCTCCGAATAGGGATCCACGCGGTGTGCGTTCAAGTGTTAGGCCGGAGTAATAGAAGCGCTTGTCTGTCACAGCATTCTGAAATCTTGTACCCATGGCGGCCAAGTCGTTCAGAATCTGTTCGGAGTTGTCACAATACTGCAGAGGATGAAATGGCAGTGAGGTTATGTTAATTTCATCGTCATATGGCGGAATAGAGAACCTAGTATGAACAGGTTGCCAGGATGATCCATCGTAGTCGAGGTAGAAACAGAGGATTTGGAAGGACATCCTCCGTTCAGCATCATCATCAGGGTCGTCTTGAATGTTGACAGAAGTTGGTGGAGTTGGTAGCTTGGCTTTCTTGACAAGGAGGTTATTCAAGCGGTCACGCGGTGTGGTAACTGAAGAAATCCTCCACACATGCTGATATGGCTCCCACTTTTCCGTATCTCGATCGGCATCTGTCACAGCGTGAGCATCAAATGTCGTCAAAGATGTAATAGGCCAGACACCTACCTCGATATCTGCTGTGATCACCCACTCCCACGGTTCTCTCCTTGACTGTGCTGATGATATTCTGGCCTGGCTTGAAGAGCAGCCAAAGGTCATCAAACCGGATTTTGGTTGGTAATCCTTTTACCATCTTCTGAACTCGAGCGGTGGGCATGATATGCTTGTCGACAAAACTGACATAACATCGCATGTCCCGAAGAGCGTTGATGCTGTCCATGATATCCTCCCGTTCATAGGTATTGTCTGCTGGGTCACGATCGTCTTGCACCTCTTCTGAGACTCCCTGTGCCCGACTAATATCTTCAGGATTTGCATTTTGAGTCATTGGGGGAGTCGCAGGCCTGTTGTCCCCCTGCTGCGTCGAGATATTGATGGGGGATATAACAGGATCTATCTTGGATTGCTCTTTCTCCAGATCTGCCCATTTGTTCTCGAGAACGTTCAATCCCTCTTTCATCTTGCCCTGAAAGAATATGAGCATCCGGAAAGGTCGTATGAACGTGACACCTGGTCCGCGCTCATAGCTTAATCGCTCAACAGCTGTAGCGTCGGCATATTTGAGCAAGTACTGCAAGACAGGTCGTGACTGAACGCGAACCCGTTGAATAAAACCCTCCACTGGTACCGCGCTGGAATCTTCAACAACGGTGTGCTTCTGTTCAAAAACAGAACCTGGTTCCCGAAATTTGTCGTCGAAAGACGTAGCCTTCGGGTGACTTCTTCTCTCTTCCTCTTGGCGGATGTCGTCCAGGAGCTCAGAGGTGTTGCAGGTCTTGGCAACATATGCCTCTATGGCGTATCTTCTATACCCATCGCCATACCAATTCTTGAATAGTTCAAAGCTCACCATTCGATAGTCGGGAACTACTGGCGTTTTCTCCCGTGTCCAAAACTCTTCATAATGAGCCAGTGATCCTCCTTCCGACGAATCTGACGGAGAGATACTCCGACCGGTGCGATGTCTTCCGCGTAAATATCTGACCGGAGAGCGGCCTTCTCTCCACAACTGCCGGGACCCTTCCGGCTTCGGCATATTGGCGTTGAATGGAGCCTACTTTTATCAGTATCGGGTCTGTAAGAGGCCCAAGGCATTGAGAAACCCGACCATGCCATGGTTCGAACTTCGCCATGAGAAGGGTAAGGAGTAAGGGCTTGCATACCTAGCGCAAACTACCTGATTCCGAGCCAAGAGCTTCGGTGGTTCTGATTAACAAGATTTGGGAAGGAGAACGGCGGGAGATTGTTTATCTTGCAAACTTGCGCCGTTGGGTTCTGATGCGGGAGACGTGATGTTAACGGCTGCTCGGATTGATTGCTTGGGGAGCTATTCACGCAATGAACCGGCGATCGAAGCGGGAAAGGGCAAGCCGGTTTCTGATGGGTACAGAGGTGATTTTAGATGATGGTTATTCGTAAGGAACAGAAGATGTCCTTCTTATCTGAGAGATGCTCGTGGCCCATGGGTGCTGCTGGAGGCGCTCGGTGTTTGTCTGGCAAGACTAAAGGCGCGTGAAGGCGGCTTTGCTTTTAGGAAATTCAATCGAGCTTCTCGTATTTTGACGGAAAGGCGTAGTCGAGCGGGGTAAGTTGGAGGCGAGCTGATGTGACGGCCTGGAGAGCGAAATCAATCCGTTCACAGTAAGCATGCTCGGCCAAAATGTCATCCAGAGCCTTGTGTCTTCCCGCGATACCCGCCGCTGAGATGGGAATTCGTGTCGAATCCCTAGATCAGTGCATGATTGGGGGCGGAAAAGCCATTTTGGGTGTGGGGTGTCGCGTTCTGATTTGTGTGACAAGTTGATATGACAGTGGCAGAGCCGAGATGCCGCAGTCAGATTGGTGAAATTCGGTATTCCGGTGAGGTGGATGGAGGCAGTGCTGAAAGCGGGGAGGGCAACATCGCTTATCAGTCGCTCCTTGGAAAACACAAGTGTTGGGGGATATTGAAAAGCTAAAGAAGCGGCGATATGAGGAAGGAAAGGAATACATGATGGCCGGTACGGCGCTGTCAGTAGAACAGGGAATGCGATGGGACCGCCCTACTTGATGTAATATATAGAGTGTCGCCAATAAGATGATCTTGAGAAGGGACAGCAAGAAGGAGCCGGGTAAGGACCCAAGAAGATCTGCGTTGTTCGGTTGGATAATGTAAGAGTCAACAGGAGAAACCCGTTGCGTTACGACCGCGGGCGTTTGCCGATGTGATGGTGGGGGACGATTACCTTTGGGCTGACATTGCTGCCTTTGGCAATTGCCATCAGCAGGATGCTGCCTTCCAGTCCCCATGGACTAATGCTGCCCATTATTGTTCTTTCCTTGTAGTTTGTTTTTCCGCCCCTCGATCTCCAAAAAAAATGGAACCTCATCAGTCATCAAACGCGATCACCATGAGCCACGGTCCACAAATATCCAACACAAGAACTTACCAAGCAGAATTAGACAATGAGACGGCCAGCTTCATCCGTACGCAAGGTCACTATTACGACCCTGCATTCACTGTTCCCTCGACCTTTGACCAACAACGAAGCCAGTTTGTCCCGAGGACAAACCTGACGTGAGTATTTTCATCGGCTTCCACAGCTCGATGATAACGCTGATGTGTTGCCCCAAACTTGTACCTCTAGTAATCTCCGTGATGTCCTCTCCCGATACCGTGAACTGTTCCCAGACTCCAATGTTGCCTCTACATTGCGTGAGGACAACTGGGAGTGGAAAAGTGTGGCAGACCATGTCAACGCGGTTCGGCCAGCATATGAAGCCCGGGTGAGAAAATCAAGGGGTGTCTTTGGTAGGTTCTGGTCAGAACTAGGCGAGAGGGCCGAAAGCTTGAAGCCGTGGTTGGAACTGATCCCCGATGATCATGGACTGCGCACATTACGGGCGGGTCTGATGATTATACTCCAGGCAAGAGCTCGCTTGTTCTGTTTTCAAACATCGCAAGAGACTGACGCAAGGTTTGTTGTGCAATAGGCCGCTAAGAAGTCCGCTGACAGAAGAGAGGCCATTCTCTCTGCGTTTGAGTCGATTCCTGGCTTGATCAGGGTCGCTGAGGACAACAGGGATTTATTTCCTAGACACAGAGAGTTTCAACAAGCCTATGATAGCTTCGTAGAGACGGCGGCCTTAACCATCATCAACCTCATGTCCATGTTGTTGCCAAAGCCCGAAAGTGAGTTTATCCCTAACTCTCACCGTCTCTGCGCTCAGCTGAGGAGTTGACCGTTGTAGTCAAGAAAGTTTTCGGAAAGATCTTTTATCAAGATGATGAATTGCACGCGGTTCTCGCTCCTCTGAAAGCCGCTGTGGAAGTGCTAAAGGCATGTGCTTCCAAACTGAAAGACGAGCTGCTCGTGGACACCCACGGCATTGTCAGTGAAACTGCAAAAGGCGTCAACCTGATCCGCGGCATAATCGTGGAAGCGAAGTGCGGTATCTCTACCGTCTCATCAAAGATCGACGCAATCCAGGAAAGCATGGACAGACAATACCAAGAGATGAAACGTCAAGTCTCGCTCCAAGCGTCAAACGCCGCCCAGTTCTACGGCATCGAAGCCCAGAACTCGCTCTTCGTCCAGCTGATCGAAGCCAGCGAGCTCAAGCTGCGGGAAGAAGTTCGGCGAGAGTTTGAACTGCTTCGAGCCGGGCACGCCGAAGACACTCACTGGATCTCCGAAGGCGAGCTGCTCACCTTCCTCAACGCGTCCCCCACCGATCTCTCGAAAGATCTTGAGCGCTCCGTCACCTCCTCACTCATCTCCCTCTCACCACCCCAACAAGCTTCCGCTCAGGGCATTCTCAACCTCCCGGCCTTTCAACGCTGGGTTTGTGCCGACGTCCCGGATATCCTCTGCATCGAGTCTAACCCAACAGACGAATACCTCTCTCCCCCTTCGACGATTGCAGGAGCTCATCCCCTCTCCGCCTTCAGTGCCAACTTCATCGCCACCCTCAGCGGTCATCGGGACGCCGTAATTCTTTACTTCTTCCCTTCCCTCCACACCTCCGACTACAACGACCCACAGTCGGAGCCCCGAACCCTTCTAACGAGCATGATTACCTTCCTCGTGCTCGAGCTCCGCCAGCGCAACCTCCTGCGTCTCAGCTTCGTCGACAAGCGGCAATACGTCCGCGACCTGCAGTACGGCAATATCGCCTGTCTTTGTCACACCTTCGGCGCATTGCTCCGCCAGCTTCCCCGCGACACGCCCGTGTATTGTATCATAGACGGGATATCTTCGTACGACCGGTCTGATCGGCCGAGTTGGCAGGACGACGTGGCGAGGATTTTGAGCACATTGGTCGATTTGGTTGGGGACGGGGAGCTGAGACCGATGTTAAAGGTGTTGGTGACGTGCCCGTTTCGGTGGGAGGTCGTGGAGAGGTGCGTGCCGGAGCAGAACAGGGTGTACACGATGGCGAATTTGTTGGACGGTGGAGGAGGAGTAGCCGGTTCTGGGATTTCGACGGAGTTCTTCGGTGGGATGTTGGATCGTGCCCATGAAGTTCGTGCCGGTGTCAGTGATTATGGGCGAGCGCGAGGGGCCGGAGATGGGTATTTTAGGAAGGAGGATGGTGGGGAGGTGACGGAGGACGATTACACGTGAGATGCCAGGCATGTTTGAGAGGCAGCGACAAATCGCAGAAGGCGAAGGACCTAGTTGTAGAGATACCTTTGACATCTGGAATCAATTGGGTCTCGTCGGTCTTGCCAATTTGTCCATGATAAGGAGGCAGGAAGGTACCTCTAGGTAGGCTCGTGATATCATTGAGTGTCTGGTCCCTTTCCAACTTGCCATACCAGGTGCGTGCAGTCCCATCTTTGAGAGTTGAACCCGACTAAGATGTTGTCCTAACAGTTCCCCCAGCGATTAGCACACTTCTATAATAGTGCAATAACAGGTCTTCCCGAAGGAGCAAAAGAGGGCAGTTAAGGTGGGGCACGGCTATTCGTGAAAGAGCCAAGCGCCAACCATGCCGTCCTGATAACAACTCGAAGTGGTTCGCAAAATGGGAAGGGTGGAATGGCCAAAGAACCACAGCGACCAAGCATCCGCGTGACTAAACGAGGCAGATTGAAGGCAATACCTTCTTCTTGGTGCTCAAACTGAGATACTAAGTGGTGGGGCTCGAGATCATTGGAGGGGAACTGAAGAGGGCCCGGAGCATGCAGACTGCGGAGGGAAGAGCATCGGACACGGTAGAAGGTGCGCTGAAGGTACTGTACCTTCTGCGATGCCCGGACGAGTCCACGGGCATCTTTCCCCCTCGTTTTGTTTTTTCCCTTCACTCCAAGATTTTTGCATGAACCTATGGAAGCTGAGGTAGAGGAAACGTACATGTCTGGGTATCAATTTACACGTTTGATCTACCCAGCATACTTCCTCGACCTGATTTTCTTCCGATGTGGGCTATCCGCTCAATTTAGAACCCCCGGATTCTCTTCCGACCAGTGTCCCGTTACGTTCATGTCTCCTCCCGTGGAGTTCGCCGCCGCACTGCCTAGCCGTTCCAAATGTGCATTCAAACCAAAGGCGGGCCTCGGGGCCTAGAAGTCAGTAGTTGTTAGGTCATAGTTGTATCCCACCCACAGCTTTCCGGTGTTTCCTTCTAACCGAGACCACATCCTCCTCCATCCTTCTCATACCAACCGCCTCGAACCATACGGCAGCAGGACATATATTAATCCCAATCCGTTGCCACGGCTAGATCCGGCCACCCCGGGATGTCTGCCGGTTGCTTGATGCCGTTCATCCTTGTCAATTCGACGAAGCATCCAAGTCGTCACCCGTACACACTTTGGCCATCGCTCCCAGCCCATTCGATGCACGACTGCGGCATCAAACTGTTTCAGCCATGCATACAGTATTGAGGCTGCGGCCCATCGAATGGGCTAGGTAGTATTATGGTCTTGTCTTGACTTGTCCCAGCCTAGGTACCGTAGCCACGCTGGTTCAGGTCAGGATGTTGTTATCCGTGGATGTGGTTGATATACGACCCACTTCCACCATTTTAAGGTTCTCCTCTCGTCAATGAATTGCAGTCATTATCTCATGGGTGAATCGCCTCACAACATTTCAGTATCCGTTCACATGCCACCTTTTACTTTCATTACATCTTTTTACGATCCGCCACTGTCTTCTGTGTCGGTCTCAAACAATAGCACCGACACGGTCACACCCGTTACTAGAGCCAAGGCTATGACAAGAACAGCTTTGCCAGATGGATGCCGTGAGCAAGCTCCGATGGTGCAGGCATTTTTTGAAGCATTGGGCGAAACGTTGGAAAACTTCGGCAAAACAATATTCGGGGAGTATACACCCAACAACGCCACTATTCCCCACTGGGAGCCGGAGCCTACCCGTCGTGGGACTTTTGGCATTTTATCAGCATGCATTATCACGCTGGGCCTTTGTGTGTGGACAGCCATACACCTGAATGTTCCTAGACATGACGAAGGACCTTTGAATGGACCTTTGAAGGTTACTATACGGAAGGTTGGATTGATAATAATGGGTCTTTTATCTCCGGAACTGGTAAGTTGTCAACCCTTCATGCTTAGCCTCAAGTCTTGCGAGTGAACTTGTAAGGGTCTGGTTCTAATGGAGCACAATCAGATAATCTACATAGCATTTCTACAGTACAACAAGGCAAAATCCGTCGTCAAAACAATGAATTCCGATATCAACGACTCCGCTTCGAAAACAACCTCTTGGAAAGCTATAATATCTTGGTTTGGTCGGTTGGGAAGGAAAGACACCGATAATGTAGAGGCAAGTTGTCTTTGTCACACGGACATATGCCACA